AGCATTGAGGAAGCTCGCTGCGAAGTTCTACTAAATGGCTGACCTTGTTTCAATCCCCATTGACGCCAATTCTACGGAAGCGATTTTATTATGGTTTTATTACTTCTCTTGTGATATGCTGTTGGCTGCTTTACCTACAGGTAATTAATATAGTTATATACATAATGCGTGTCTGTATGTTTTATAGTCTTTAAGTACCCGGCGCTTTCTGTTCCTTTGTTATGGAGTTGAGTCCGAAACGAAGGCCGCAAAAAGTAACGAGTGTTTGACGATAAATTCTTTTAACTTGTATGTTTGAGCTATCAGTTTTGACATCATACTCTGCCAGCTGTCGCATAAATTTATGGGCAAACTTCAAAGCAGGCCTAGCCGACGCTGTTTGTACTTGCTCTCGATGATGTGGACTCGGTGAGCTATTTCGCAGCAGCTCCGCTCCGTTATCGTTCGTTTACTCCGCGGTAAATGCGAGATTTCTTATCTTTCTGCCCGAGCAGCACCGGGCTTCTCTACAGCTGCGTAGGCTCCACTGCCCTTCGCGCACCGCGCTGTGGTAACGCAGGCCTGATGACCTGATTTGAAAAGCTCTGGATTCGCCATTCTTGTCGGACAAAGAAGTCGAAGGTTAAACGTCTTTAGGATGTTAAATTCCTTCTAATGATTTTCTGTTTGAAAGGCCTTTTATTAGAGTGCGGACAGTCACAATTGCTCCATTATATTTCAATCTCTCGTCTGCGCAGTGTTCCACCTATGTAGACCTCCGTGTCCTCGGGTGCCCCGTGTCCCCTGCAGTGTGCCCCTCTGGCTCTCGGCGGCCGGCCGTGGCTGCAGTGTCGCGCCGTCAGACGCGGTGTCGGGTGTCCGCCGGCGGCCAACTGCGGAGGGAGACAGCGCGACGCCAGGCCCGCTCCCCTCCTCCCTCCCGGTCCGACCGACCGACTGTCTGCTCTCCGGCGGCCGACGGGGGGGGGGGGGTCTGTCGTCGGCCGGGACGCCGATTCGCTCCGCCGCCGAGGGCGTTCAAAAGGTCACCGCGCCGCGCCCGCCGCCGGCCGACGGTGCCATCAATTAGGAGGGTGTCTCCCGCCAGTCGCGCCCAGCCACCGCCTCCGCCATCGCCACCGCCCTGCCGCCGCGCCAGGCCCTCCATCGCCGCCCCGCGGCGGAGCGGCTGTGCCAGACCGTGCCGAGTGCCGACCCACGCAGGAAAGCCGTGTCCTGGACGTAATCTGACTGGGTTTGCATGGCACTCCTAGATATGAATCGGTAAAAGTAGATTAATTCACTTTTACACCTAGTTGTTATTAATAAACAAGGATTAAACCTTAATGGGAGACTAATCCTCCCAAGTTTTGGCTTTATGGATAAGCTTGTATGCGGCCAGGGAAATGAAGCATGCAAATTCAGAGCACAGGTGCACCTAAACTTGCTGTCAACTTGTCAACGTCCTTCCATAATGGCGCAACGAAATAATTCGCTTCATTAAGTGCGATTGAAAAGGCGTTTATGTATTGCGTAGATAAAGGTTTTTAGCCTCGCATCTTTCATGCTTCAGCATCTTTCATACATCAGGCTCTCAACAGCTGAGGTCACCTGCAGTGCTCACATCGGACTTTCAATGCGCGTTGCGGTGAAGGTGGTATCAGCAGCTGCGTTACGACGCTGACTCGTCTGGTCGTTTCATGGGGCAGCCGGCCGTTCCCCGGCCACGGGTGATCAGGCTCCGGCGCTTCTTTGTCGGCGGCTGGGGTTCGGCCGCGCGGTCGGCCCCCCGCCGGGCGGTCCCTCCATTTCACACCCGAGCCGGCGGCGCCGCTGACGGCCGCGTCCGCCTCCATTCATCACATACCGGGCGGCCGAGGTGCGCGCCGGGCGCCCTATCAATGCGGCCGACCCCTGGGACGACCCCTCCCCGCCGTGCCCGGCGCAATCCATTCGCCGCGCCGCGCCGGTATGCGCCCGCTGTATGGCCCGGAGAAACGCCGGTCCGGCCGGCCGCTTTGTGGCTAGGCGGCCGAGGTGCGCGTCTGAGCCTGGTGCCATTGTGTCACCGGGACCCCGGTCACCGGGGGCGCGGAGGGTCGGTCGGCCGGAGGTGTGAAACGGGGTGCGACGCCGGGGAGCGGCGACAAAACGGATAGCCGGTATGTGCTGCGGAGAAGGGGAGGGATTGACGGGAGAATCAACCGGAAACGCCTGCCAAATACTGGAAACACAGGATCGGTTACTCACCACACAGACGCTGAAACTGCGCTCAGCATCGTTGACTTGAAATCGGATCTCTATTTACTCGTGAATGACATTGAAGCTGCCTTTGTCTTGTCTCGGTGAGACTTCGCGGTGCAGCCGTATGCGTTGGGTCCAGCTCCAAACAATAGCGTGGCGCGGGACGCTGACGACAGTGGCGACACGTGGTGCTGCTAGCGTATGCGATCTTAGGCCATGCATTAATCGGGCGCGATAAAAATCACCGCCGTCACCGCTGGGCGGTGGGCGGACTTTCCGATCAGGTGTCTGTCGGCGGTGAGCTGGTTGAATGGCCCCCGTGTGTGGCGGCCGGGGCGCGGAGCAGGGCGGCCGGATGTGACGAGCACGCCCGCCCGGCGGCGACTCCCGCCGTGAGGTCACGGCACACGGGGTCGCCGCGGGCAGGGAGCGGCCCGATGACCGCCGCCGGCGCCTCCATCTGTCACGGCCGGCCGCCCCGGGACGGCCGTCACGGGTCCAGTCGGCTCGTTTTAGTCACGGCGGGGCGTGCACTGAGGTGTTTCGGCCGGGTTAGGTGGTAGCCGCCCGTCGGCCCGGACAGGGCGCGAGTTGTGAGATGGTGTGAGAAGGTGCTGGCGCCCGTCCGGCGCTGAGTTGCGAGATGGGGTGCGTGGCCGCCCCTCTGAGTGACAGCCGACGGCCGCTGACAGCCCGACTGCCCGGCTGACGACCGGTCGGCGCTGGAGGAGCGGTCAGTGACGCAGAGCGGACGGGGCGGTGTCCACCGGTGTCGGCCGCGCCACACGTGTGCCGACCGGCCGCATCTGTCACCGCTCCCGGGCCGTCTGGCAGCTGGCCGGGCGGCCGAACGCTCCCGGCAGTCGGCGCCAGACGGCGCGGCGCTGCCAGCCAGCGGCCCTGGCCCGCTCGGTGCAGCCGGCGCCATTAAACAGACACCCACGGCTGGCCGGCACCGCCAGACAGCCGGCCGACCGATCAGCGCCGCGGCGGCAGAGTCACGGCCCGCTGCCCAGACTGCTCGGCACAACCCCGCGATGAGATGGGCTGATTCATCGCGCTGTATCGGGCTCAACTATCGTGTCACGATATGCCGGGCGATTGGTCATGTCTCTCGGTACGTGTTGACGGGATGGCTGAGCTGCACCGGTGCCACTTTGTGACGTGTTTGTATCGGTGGTGCATGCAGTACCGGAGAGGCCGCCCGCCCCGCCCGAGGCCGGCTGGCAGAGAGCGAGGTCAGCCGGCGGCCGGGCCGCGCTGACCTTCCGCTGCAGTCTGGCCTGGCGTCGGGCCCGTGACCGCGCCGCCGCCGGCCGGCCAGAGGCGCCCGGAGCCGCTGATCGGACGGCGCCCGGCCGGCCGGCTGACCGGGGCCGGTTCGTGACAGGCGGACACCATTTTTGTCGGCGGGCGCCGGCTGCAGCGCGGCGCCCGAATGAACCGCCGACCGGTCCCATCAGCAGCCGACCGCTCCGTCCTGCGCCCGCGGCCGGCGACTGAGCTCGGCTCAGCCCTCGCATGTGTCGGACAGTGTGTCACCGGCTGACGCAGCCTAGCCGGCCACGGCTATACTTACGGCCTTCGTTGACTCTGACAGCGCACAGACCGTATTACCCCTTGACCTCGGTCGGAAAGTCCGCGCTGTGATTTCTACCAATGCCGTCTGCGGCACATGCACTGGACATGCTTAGTGTCGTCAGCTCATTAGCTGACACATCAGAGGACATAATTGTGGCACCGCGTCACTCGCGTCACGCTAGGCAGAAAGGAAAACTGCTAGCTGGAAAGCCGACGGGTTTTGAATTCCGTTATGAGTGATCAAGGGGAGATCAAAATCAGCGTCGTTTTCATGTTGGCTGTCTCAGCCTGTGACGTGCCATACGGTCACTCGTACATCACCGTGATGACCCTGAGTGCTTTCCATGTCGACGGGCCCAGGTGTGGACGGAGCCGATGATCGGCCAGGTCGAGCGCCGCAGGTGACACACTGGGCCAGCCAATCGGGCGACGTTTTCCTCGGCGCTGCACCGGCTTTGCAGCGCATTGAATGGAGGGGTGCAGCCGTATTTAGGATGCTATCTGGTGCGCTGAATTCACCTGCATTATCGATCACCGCTGATAAATGCAGTTCATTATGTCATAGCTTTTTATAAGGCGGATGAGTTGTGCGCTCCAGATATGTAATTGAGACGGCGTGGCCGGCCGGCCGGGCAGCGAGAGGCAGCGGCCTGGTGAGTCATGGCGGCCGCCAGGTAGCCCGTTTGATGGACGATGATTATCCCATTTCGCAACGGACGACCGGTGCCCGATAGCCCGTACATGGCGTGCAGCGAAAATACTGCGCCGCGGCCGGCCGGTCTGCACGGCACGCCACGGGGCACGGCTCTGGGCCTGGGGTCGGCCCGTCTGGCCGGCTGGGCGCGCGCCGTCCGGCCGATGTATTCCGGGCGGACGGCGCCGACCGCTGGGCGCCCGCCGCCGCCCCCGCCCGGTCCACTTGTCATCCGGCGGCCGGGCGCACGTAGCCGCATATGGGCCGACCGACCAGATGGTATCGGCTCACGTGCACGGCCTTATATTCGGCGACCATTAGTGGCCCAGGGGCCGCCGCGCTGCGCAGTCAGCCAGGCTCGGGGAGGCCGGCCTCTCACTCTCTCCTTCGCTCTCTTTCTCCTGTCTCGCTCTTATCGTTGATTTTATCCAGTGTAGTGTGTGGCGTATGTCCAGCCAGGGAGTTGTAGCATAATTAACCCCTGTTTGTCCATCTGTTTCAGAGACCTGCACGATAACCTGTTGGAGAGCCTGCCACGCGCCGCGCTGGCCTCGATGCCCCACCTGAAAGTCATGTGAGTAGCGGGCATCGTGTTCTCTGCCGTGTACGAACACCTACCGCCGGGGGCGCTTCCTAGAAAACAGTCGCATAAAACGGCAACTCCACACCTCTGAAACCGGAGCGGCCGGCGCGGTCGGGCGGCCGGTGGCGTTGTTTGCCAGTCTGGCCGTGTGTGTAGCGGGGTAACCCGAGTCCGCTGGCACCTGACCGTACCAGCCGTGCCCGTGTTGACGGCTGGTACCGCGGTGCGGTGCGTGGTCGGTACGGCTGGCGACTGATGACGGAGGTCGGGGGTAACCCGAGCTGGTGACACCTGCATGCTGACCGGACAGCTGTGGTTGTGGTCTGACGTAAGCCGTGCTGTGCTGACGAGTGGTAGACGACGGCGGAGACCGGCTGTGCTGAACGGTTTGACTAATGGCTGACATGACGGATATGGACTGACAGCTGACTGACTTGTGACTGCTTGACTGATATGACTGATATGATGTCAAATGACTGACTGACTGACTGTCGTGACTGGGTGGAGTGTCCGGCCGCAGACGGCGGCTGTCCGCCCCGCGGAGCACCCGTCCGGCCGGACGGCGCGCCCCGCCGCGGCCTCTCCCGGAAGCGCCGTGAGCTCCGGCGGACGGGCTGGCCGTACACTGACCGTCAGCTCACCTGGCAGACACACAGCGTGTTCACACACCGCCAGTTGACAGTGCACACACGGGGCCGGCGCGGCTGTTTGTCCGCAGCCGACACACCTGCCGGCTCGGGAGACGTGGCGCCAACCCCGACCCGGTCTGTCTCCAGTGGACAAACACACCGATAGGGATACCATGAAAGCGACGCCAAACTGGCGCCGCACACCCATGTGGCGCCGCTGCAAATTGATGCTGCAGACACATTTGAAATGACTGCGATAATCATGGCGCCAGTTTCAAAAATGTTTGCCTAGTGTCTGCTCAAGCTCCGATAGAAATTACTATTGTCTGTCTATAACTATCAAATCACTATTTGTTCCTGTATGTTAAGAACATTTTTGAAATATTATGTTCTCATATGAATTTGAACTGAATTTTGATGTAAAAATAATCAATTTCATATCTGGAGACCCAAATTCTGTTCCCGTCCGTTTCGGGCTCCCACTGGAGCCGCGTCCTGACCTTGCGCTGAAGGAAGTTGGCTGCTTATGATTTGGTCGCTGACTTACGCACCTTTGTCTCGTTTACAGCAATGTGAACAGGAACGCACGTCTGAAGTATTTGGCTGCTGACACGTTCGCCGATAATCTACTGCTGGATGAGATGTGAGTTTCCTCTCAGCCACCAGTACCTGCCGCTGATGACGGCACTGTTCTGTTTGTGTGCGTGTTTAGCGGCGCCCTTGAGCTGGCTTTATCGTCGCACAGACGTGCGGGTGGGCTTATGAAAACGTGATGAGGTTCTTTGCTGAATATATTAACACATTTTGTTCATTCTCTCGACGCTGGCGTGGAACACAACTGAAAAGCGCCAATGTAGCAGCGAAGTGTGCTGCTTCGTACTGTGTCCCGCTCGTCGGTGCGAACGTTCGCCACATCTCCCCGTCTGACCGCGCTGTCCGGTGTCTGTTACAGTGACCTGTCCGGCTGTAGCGGGCTCGGCGCCGTGCCGCCGCTCGAGCTGCCGCCGACCGTCCGCGTGGTGGATCTGTGAGTACCGAGGACCGCGTGGTGCGGGGCGCCGCTGAGACGCCGGCGGACGTGTCGAGTGGAGCGGCGCGGCGCGGCGCCGGCGTCCGCCGCTGTTTGCCGGACGGGCGCCGGTCTGCCGCGCCGCTCTGTTTGTCCGTTTGACTGCAGATTGCTCGTTGTTCGTTGCTATCGGTGTTGCTGAGCGGCCGTCTATGCCGGGCGCCGTGTGCGTGCGCGTGTAACCGGGCCGTTGCACCTGCCGCTGTCACGCGGACGCCGGGCGGCGGCGGCGGCTGCCATGTCAGCCGTCACTCCAGCCGTCTGTAGCGCGCGGAGGGCTCGTCTGACCGTCCGTCCGTCCGTCTGTTCTGTCTCCCTCAGCTCCGACACGGGCATCGAGCAGTTGGAGGCGCCGGCGCTGCTCGGCTACGGACATGTGCACAACCTGGACCTGTCCGACAACCGCATCACCGGCCTGCCTCGGCGAGCCTTCCCAGACGGCAGCCAGCTGCGCCGACTGTGAGTGGCGCCGACCTGACCGTGACCTGACCCGACCCGTGACATTGCTCACATCTGTACTTAACCAAGCAGCCGGTGATGTAGCAGCATATCCTCCTCGTTCTTCTCACTGCTCTCGGTGACGTTCGAATTAGCTCACCACATTCGTCCCGCTTCTAGGATGTTTGGCTAACGAGAATGTTGGCTCTCCCCGTCTTCGCTTGGACTGACGCTTACGTTGTTGTTGATGTGTGCCGTGATGTTGAGATGTGATGTCACCGTATTGATGCGGATCAGATCAATGCTGACGCGAGAACTCTGCTGACGTGAGAACTCGAGAGCGGCTACCGGTGCAGTCTGTCAGTAGCGCGCGGGGGCGGTGCGGAAAGTTACGATTAGCCTTTGAAAATAGAACCGATGGAGCGATTCTGGGATCGGAAGTTGCAGGTCAACACGATACGAAGGTCTATCTATATTTCGACTTCTGGTTTTTATCACGTGTCAGACGCCATGAGGAAAAGACTGAGTGGGCTTCTGAAGTATCGGAAACCCTTCCGGTCGGAGTATGCATCAAATTTACAAAGCGCTTGATCGAAGTTTGGTGTGATCTTAGTTTCAATGAACTACTCTTATCCAATCGCTAGGTTTTGATAAAGTGAAGTGGAGCTTTGTGACCAGGTGTTTATCAACCCTCGGCCTGTTACACCAGCAAAGTAATCTTGTTGCTCCGGCACTCTACGGGGTCAATATTAGCGCGTCGCTACGTCCGGAGCCGTAGCCGATATAGTCCGGAGCCGATATAGTGTTCCTGTTGACATGGCTGGCGGTCACTTTAGTTAGACGCACGTGGTGTAGAGTCGGGCGGCGCTGGGAGACACGCTGTGTCGCCACTCCGCCGCGCTCGGCGGCAGGTGCGGGCCGCAGGCTTTAGCGGCCGAGTGGTGCAGTAAATCACCGACGCCGGCCGCTGCTTGTCGACGGCAATAATGGCGCCGTGTCGCGCCACTGATCGCCGCGCCGCGCCAGATAAGGTGGCCGCCGTCTTGTCGACCGGTCAGCGCGCGCGATGCCGACGCCCCCCCCCCCCCTTACCCCCGGTTGCGCGATGCTCCTAATCCTGTGTTGACGGACGACACTTTTCGACGGCGGTCGCTCAGCGCGCCGTCCGGTTTTCCGCACTGGCCGTGCCGCTGACGTAATACCGACCGGCGCCGTCCAGCCGCGAACAACGGCCGCAGTTTTATTGTGTTCTCGGCGAACAATCCCTCAGCTGCGGCCGTGGCGGTGGGCCGCCGTCCTGAGTCAGCCGGAGCGGCCCGGTGGCGTGCTGGAGCGCCCGACTGGCCTCGGGTTTGTTGGCTGTCGGACAGGCGGCGCCGGGCCGGCCCCGGTGCCCGTGAGCCGAACACCTGGGCTGACTGAGCAGGTGTGGGGCCGCGCCGGCCGGCCGGGCGGGGCGGCCGGCTCCATGCACCGGCCGCCGCGCCGGAATGTGAGACCGATTACGGCCGGATTGCATCTTATCGCGCCCTTTCGGCATGCGGCGCCCGCACCGGCGGCTCAGCTGACAGGCCGGCCGTATTCAAAACGCCGCCCACCACGGCTCTCTTCCGCATACAGCCAGCAGGGCTTACCCAGCCGGCTGACGAGGGCCGCTGACGCGATATCGCGCCCGGCGACAATCTCGATGGCGTGATAGGCGATCTGCTGCAGGTGTGGCTGTGTCCTTGTCAGACTCTCAGGCTGTTTTTGTTGGCCACTTTTGCTCTTTGTCCACATTCAGGTGCTTCCGTGGTCAAGTGGAACGACACCTTGACGACCGCCTGACACCGCTGCACCCTGTTCGTTCCAGGAAACTGCACAACAACAGGATCAGCTCGCCCAGAGAGCTGCGGCGGCTGCGCAACCTGCGACACCTGGAGGTGCTCAAACTCTCCAAGAACCGCATCAGCCGACTGAAGAAGGACATGTTTCGCGGCCTGGGACAGCTGCGGGAGCTGTGAGTAGCGAGCTGCCGGCTCGCTCCGGACCGGCCCGGACCGGCTCCCATCGCGGCTGATACAAGGGCGGAGCGAGCGGTGCACCGGGTCCGATGCTGTAAAGATTAGTTATTGGTCCTTATGCCAGCCGTCAGGGCAAGGATAGTAGTTTATACGCTGGTTTAAATCCACACGGAGCTGCTGCTACTTTCTCAGGGAAGGCAGGCACCATCTGCAGGGCCTATATCGGACTGAGGTCGTCTGATAAATGTTGATGGTGGTCATGCCTGAATGCCGGGAATTGGAAATGTGTCTGGTGACGGCGTTATTTACTGCCTTTGATCTGTCGATATAAATGTCAGCTCAGTAACCCGCCTGAGTTCACTCTGTAATCCACGTGCATTTTCGTATGGGCGTTTACGCTGATACCACGCCATATTCAGTTTTATAGTTCATTCATCGGGGTTTATCAGATAAGGGTAGTGTGCCGTTAGTGTTTATTTGGCTGGGCTCGGCCTCGCACACAGTGCAGGTGGTGTCTGAATCGGACCTCCGGGCCCTTCCATAAATAGGTGGCCTACAGCCCGGACTTTCCGCGGCTCTCGCCTGCACTGCGGGTGGAGGAGATGGTGCGGGAGGGTCTGTAACACCGGTACAGGCAGTGAACACCTGACCCCAGAGCTCACAGCTGGCGCTGTGATAACCGATAGAGTTGTCTGCACTGAGCTGCCAGTTATTACATTCCCCGGTTAACCGGATCGCCGGAAGTGAGCGATAAACCAGACATGCCGCTGCCCGTGTTCGGTGTCGTGTGCTGTCCTATGCCATCAGTGCTGACCTCAGCCTGTCCATTGTGTGTCCGACAGGGATCTGAACCGGAACCGACTGTCGGAGATCGACAGTCTCGTGTTCTCCGGTCTGCACAGCCTGCAGGTGCTGAAGCTGAAGCGCAACGGCATCCGGCGCCTGATGGACGGCGCCTTCTACCACCTGCACAACATGACGCAGCTGTAAGTGACGCCGCCGCCGGCCGGGACGGGACGGGCGCGGCGCGCCGGCTACTGCAGAAGTCCGGCCGGTGACACGCCGTGAGCGCGGTAGCCGGCGCGCCGCGCGGCCGCACGGCGGCCCGTGACACAGCCGTGATTTACCGCCTGTTTAGCATGGCCTCTCGCTGAATTATGGACCGCCTGCCGGGACGCGCCTTTGATTTACAGCCGGAGCGCGCGGCCCAGCCTTTAAGCTGCGCGGAGCGCGGGCGCGGCGCGTGCGCCCCGTACAGGGGCCGGTGTCACCCCGTCAGTGTTCGGTGTCTTGGTGACACGCCGGCACTCCCTCCTGCCGGGGCTGGTTACGATATGACGCCGTCAGAGCCTCCGCGGCGGCCGTCGGCGGAGACCCAGCCAGCCCGCGGAGCCTGCATCGTGCTCCTACCGGCGTTCCGGGCGTGTTGATCCCGTCTTAGCTGCACTGATCTGCCAGTGTTGGGGATTACACGTTCACAGAGAAAGGGCCGCGCTCGGTCACAGGTGTGCCCGGATTACACGTTATCTGGAAATGGCATTGGTCAGCTGTCAGCCAGAGCTGTTTGAAGCTGTTACCTGCTGAGACCCTTCTCATGGACTACATGTCATGAGTCAACGCCCTTTTTTTGTCTCGTCGCACAAGTGCCTCTAGAGTGAATCACTCGCTGATACTGGCTCCTTGGCGCCTTGATATGAGTCTTCAAAGTGAAGACGTTTTGGTGACCGAGGTCTTGTTTTTCTGACGGCATCGATATGTGCACGTCGTACATGTGTGTAAAATTCGATCCTTATTCTTTACTGGTTTTCTGTCAGTATTACTTTTCTCTGAGAAGCAAAAAAAAAAAAAAAAACGCCTTCGATGTGGGGTTTGCTCCTTGCACACAGTGCCGCCGGTACCGACAGTTACGTGCGGAATGCCTGTGGGGCGGCCTGTCTGGGCTGTTTCCGGCGCGCTATTGTGACGAATCACGGTCGACACGGGGAGCGTGTGGGCGGGTGTGCCGCTCGCGCCCGCTCGGTGTTTGTGCACTGGTCGGCGGGGGCGGTGTCGGCGGCACTCCCTGACCGCAGCACACACCTGGTCTGTCGGTGTCAGTGTCGGTGTTAGTCTCAATGTCACTGTCGGTGTTGGTGAGGGGCTACTCGGCACACCTGGCGCTCTGTACCTCCCCTCCGACCCCCACCCGCCGCCGCGGCCCCCGGCTGTCTGGCGCAGCCGCGGACTCTGTACTGATACGGCGAGAGAGAAAAAATCGTCCTGATAACCTGCCACAACATCTGGTGACTTTCACATGACGGCCGATGACGGACGGCGTGGCGGAGGTTTTTTTTTGGTTTTACGTCGCCTCCAACAGGTCCGAGATGGTATCGAGAACCACATGAGCTGTCCGTCCGGACCTAACCTGGTCCGTCCAACCTGTTCTTAATTAGGAAAAAATATTCTCTTCCATAACGTCCTATCTCGTTGGATATATCAAGTCCCATGTTTCTGAGGGCGGTCGACTCGGCGGGCGGTCCGCTCGTTGACAGGTCTCTGGAGGCGGTGCTCCGGGACCGTGTCGATCTGCTAACGGGCGGGCGCGGCGCGGTGTGCACCACGTTTCGTTTGGTGTCGCCGTGTCCGACACAGCCGTGATACGCGGCTCGGAGCGGCCGCGTGTCAGGTGTTGGTTGGCGAGCAGGTGCTCCGGGAATACCTGGCGACTCCGCGCCGCCCTGCCCGGCCCGGCCAGGCGGGCCCCGGTGCGACCGTACGATCCATTGGGATGAGTTCCGCGAATTAAGTCGTTCCGACAGCCACATTGTAATTGTATATGAAGTCGCCGAGGCGACAGAGTGATGAGGTATTCTGTCCGTACTTCCAGCGCCCCTCGAACCGGGTTGTGTTGAAAATGAGCAATGCAGGCGGTGCAGTGTGCTGGGACCGATGAACTAGTCTATTTTACATATTGGTGATTGAACACCTTACCTTGCATTTGGCTGCGCGTGTCATGTCACGGTAATGTTACGGGACATTTTTCGATCCTAAGACCGATGTATAGCTGTTGAACTTGGCGAACCAGGCGTTCTTCAAGATCAGGGCGCGCAGGAATGCGGGGTACGCCCATGTATCGGGGTCTGATGGGAATCACCCCTCTGTCCGTCTGCATTACTGCGGCCTGGCAGTGGATAATGGCAATGCGGCCTGGCAGTGGATAATGGCAATGCGGCCAGGCAGTGGATAATGGCGAGGGATAAACGTGTGGGAAGACTGGACCCGTCTGCCATGATGTCGGCTCTCTCGGCTTATTTACCGGGACTTTTTTAGAGGGGCCGTGCAGACTCGTCATCAGTTGTTGTTTTGTAGCAGCGCTCGGATGGTTTGTGTGTGATGTGTCCCGGATTGTATTATCTCAGTAGTGTGCTGCAACTGACATCACCAGCTTATAATACCCCACAGACACATCTTAACACCGGGCGTCTCCGCCCGCAGATACCTCGACCACAACCAGATCCGCAACATCACCAAGGGGTGGCTGTTCGGCCTGAAGCCGCTGGAGCGCTTCAGTCTCAGTCACAACGAGCTGCAGCGGACGGATCTGGACTGCTGGCGCTACTGCGAGCACCTGGCGTTCCTGGACCTCAGCTACAACCAGCTGAGCGCCGTGGACACGCACACGTTTGCCAAGCTGCCGCGCCTTCAGCAGCTGGTGCTCGACCACAACCGGATCGCGCTGATCGACGAGAACGCCCTGCGCGGCTCGCCCAAACTGAGAGACCTGTGAGTCACGATGGGGAGGATCGCTGGCTTTTAGGGGGGGGGGGGGGTAGTGACCTCTGTGGTAAAAGTTATGGAGGATGCGACAAGGGATTTGACTAAATGAGCTTCATTATTTGTTTGGAACGTCTGGAGCGAAATTAGTCTAGATCACGCAACCGTTTGCACAATCATCGACATAGCATGTCTTGGACGCTCCGCACCATGAGCCGTCATAGATACTAGACTTTTGCTAGGCTCATGACCGTCCACCAGTTCCCGAACCCCATCGCGCTCGTTTTCTCTCCCGCCCCTCTGACACACCTTTTTCTGTTCGACAGCGAGCTGAACAACAACCTGATCTCGTCGACAATCGAGGAGGGCAGCGGCGCGTTCTCCGGGCTGCACCAGCTGACGCGCGTCGGTCTGCGACACAACCGGATCATGTCCGTGTCGGCCGACTCGTTCACCGGCGCGGACGCGCTGGAGGAGATCGATCTGGCCGGAAACCCTCTGACCACGGTGCGCGAGGCCTCGTTCAGCCGTCTAACTGCTCTCCGTGTACTGGTGATCGACTCGCAGAGTCTGCTGTGTGACTGCACGCTCCGCTGGCTGCCGACCTGGGTGCGCGAGGCCGGTCACGCGCAGACAGTGACGGCGCGGTGCCACCATCCGCAGCGACTGCAGGGTCAGCCGCTACTCGAGGTGGCGCCCGACAGCCTGGCCTGCCACGAGTCGCCCAAACCGGCCATCCGGCTCCAGCCGCGTACTGGGAAGACTCTGAAGGGTGACAACCTGACGCTGAGCTGCGAGGCCGAGTCGTCCGCTAACGACACGATGCAGTTCGACTGGCGGAAGGACAGCCAGCTGGTGGAGGCCGGCCGCGCCGTGTCGCTGGCCTGGGCACACACGGACGGTCGGCCGGGCCTGGTGATGCGCTCCGAGCTGTCGCTGGTGAACCTGACCGACGCCGACGCCGGCGAGTACCAGTGCGTCGTCTCCAACGGCTACGGCGTCTCGTACTCGAGCAAGGCGCGCGTGGACGTGCACGTGTTCCCGGTGTTCCAGCAGCGGCCGGCCGACCTGCAGCTGCGCGCCGGCAACACGGCCCGGCTCGACTGCAAGGCGTTCGGCCAGCCGACGCCGTCCATCTCCTGGGAGAAGGACGGCGGCTCCGACTTCCCGGCGGCCAGCCAGCGCCGCCTGCACATGCTGGAGACGGAGGACGGCTTCTACATCGTCAAGGTGCAGGCGGACGATCAGGGCACCTACACCTGCACAGCGCGGAACGAGGCGGGTGAGATCCGCGCCAACGCCACGCTCAGCGTGCTCGAGGCGCCGTCGTTTGTCCAGCCGATGGAGGACCGTGAGGTACCGGCCGGGGACACTGCCGTGCTGACATGCATGGCGGCCGGCTCGCCGGCGCCGCGACTCACCTGGACAAAGGACGGCGCACCGCTGCAGCTCACCGAGCGACATTTCTTCACGGCCGGTCAGCAGCTGCTCATCATCGTGCAGACGGTGCCCGAGGACGCCGGCCGCTACCAGTGCCAGATGAACAACGTGCTCGGGGAGCAGAGCGGGCTGGCCAAACTCACCGTGCTGCCCAGTGAGTACAACCGACATGGCTGGGGTTATGGGCTTGCTCTGTCTATTCATGGTAGTATTCTGCCATAAGTGTAACTTAGTAGGCTTAAAGGGAATATCTCGGCGAACGCAGCCTATTGAAATACTTTGAGTTTTGTATTGTTTAGCCTAAATGTCTCACCTTCAGAAAGACATTTCCTCGCGTTTTTGAAAGGGCTTCGCGTGCAATGGCTTCACACGAATGCTTGAAGACTTCAGTAAAGTCAACCATTTACTCTCGAAGAAGGCTGTCGGCTAGAAAATGTGCGTCCCAGGTGGTTAGCAGACCGAACCCAGTCCTCTGACACTACTCTGTGTCTTCCAACAGGTTCGTCACTCGGTCTGGACGACGACTCAACCTACGCCATCATCATAATCGCCGTCGTGTCAGGCGTGGTGGTCACCTCGCTGGTCTGGGTCATCATCATCTACCAGGCGCGTAAGCGGTCACTGCGCCAGCAGCGCAACCGCTCGACGGCCGCCGACCGGCCGCTGTCGCCTCCTCCGCCGCACACGGTGACCGTGTACCACCCGACTGCGCGGAGCACGCTGCTGCCGCGGCGCGCCTCTAGCGACCAGCTGTACACCGGAGACGACGGCTCGGAGCACAGCAGCGGCAAGGACAGCGGCCAGGGCGGCCACGACGAGCCGGCCGGCGCCGACCCGGCCGGCAGCTCACTGCTGGTCGCCGTGGCCGCCGAGTCGGACGACGAGGGTGTGGGCGGCACGCCGCTGATGGACCGGCGGCCGCGCGTGCTCACCACGTTCCAGGGCGCTGTGGGCGCCGGGCCGGCCGGTTCGCTGCGCGACGGCCCGGCCAGCCGCGAGAGTCTGCAGACGGTGGTGCCGCGCCACCTGCTGGCCGACCGGCGGCTCGCCAAACTGGCCGACGGAGCCGTGGTGGTGGCGCGCGCCCGCTCCCAGCCCACCGAGGTGTGAGCGCCGCGGCGCGACCACCCACACCCATCACCCACCCACCCGCCCTCTCACAGCGCCCCGGGCGCGGCCGGCAGCCGAGTTCTCCTCTACCCTCCCCTCGCGGCGCTCTCCCTCACCCCTCTCACACTGTATCGTATTTATTACCGACGTATCAGACGACATATCTCCTCTCTCGTTCGCCGTCTTGTCTGTCACTGTCAGTCAGTCTATTCGCCCGACGGCGGCGTCTTTTCCGTTGGGCCGTGTTTCTATGCGCGCGGCGCTGCGGCGCTGGCGGGGCTGCGGCTGGCCCGCCCGCCCCCAGTCAATGACCGACACTGAGTCGGTGCCGAGGGCGCCCACAGGTGACCCTCGTAATGCATGTGATATATTATTTATGTACAAATAGTTATTATGGAGTCGATTGAGCGGCCGGCCGCGGTGGCTCGGCCGGCGAGGCAAGCGGAGCGAACGGCCCAGCGTATTGTTGATCGTCATCATTTTGTAACGTAGACTAGCGTGTGCGTGTGTGCGGATCAGTGTCGTAACATTATTTGCGAGTGTGTGTGAATGTGAATGTTCTCTTGTGTGTCCATGAGTCATCAGAGATCTGAGGTCATATCCCATGATCGGTGTCATACAAAGCGCGGACCGCGCGCCTGCGCGGTTGTAATACAGAATTTGTGACTGTGGCGACATTTTTGTAGAAGCGGACGTATCAGGCGCCTGGTGGCGTGACAGCGACGAGATAGAGAGGGAATCAGGGGAGTGAGGACGATCAAGCAATTGAACTCTTTTTACAAAACACGAACTAGCCTTCGGAATCCCCTCAGAGGTGTTGAGAGCACTGCCGCTGCCATGGCCGAACGCATACTGACGCTGACACGAAGCCAGTATAAGAAAGAAGGCAACCTAGCGCTGCTCCGTTCGGTCCGGTAAACCTAAGGAGCGTGCATAAAGGTCGACATGTGAACTGCAACTTATCTTAGGAAACTATGTTTGGTCCCCGTGATCACATAAGCTGATGCCTCGGGGAAGGAGGAAAATCGCCTTAGAATTACGTGGGTCAGCGCCCTCTGCGGAGTGATGTGTTACAGCCAGCCACACGATCGAAAGGTAACACACACACACAAAAAAATGATATAAGAACACATAAAACATCACATTTATATCGCCTACATGACATCCTTATTGTAATTTCCGGTAGCTGAATAATGGATACGGGTCAAACGGGCAGCGGGACGGCAGTCATGGGATATGTGTAGGTATTAGGATCTGTCCATGGCTGTCGGTGATTTGCATTAGGAGCGGCACTACACCTTAGGGGTCAGCGGGCTTTAATCGTGATATCCCGACTTCTGAACAGAGTTCCATTTACAATTGCCTGGGTCAGATGGTTGATTAATGATTATGCATCGTTTCCGGTTTGAGGTGACAGGCGGATACGGACTTCCTGTGGCGACGGTGAGTCGCGAATCGCGATCTCCATAGACCATAGGTACAGGGTGTCCTAGAAGTCTTGAAGCTTTTTTATTTTTGTCGTGTGACCTTGCTATGCCACCGATTAAGGCGAATCATGCCTCAAACGAAAGAGAAAGAACTGAAATTTTGTATTTTCATGCGTAGAGCACCACTTTAGTCAGGTGGCCCCCGTTGTGAGTCGCACAAGATTGAGCACGAGAGATCACGTTCTTCGCTGCCGCCAAGATCTCCCGGTTTGCGAAACACCGGTGTCGCCATGCCCGTTTCTTGTCAGCTTCAGAGTCTTATTCCCTGAAGCGAGCGACATAATATTAGCGACATATATTTGCGACGGGTTGATATTTGTTTTAGCCCCATAATAATGCGACGAATCAAAGGATTACAACGGGCTGTTGCTTAGCGTGCTCAAGCAGCTGAGCCTATTTCCGTAATGGATGCGTGCAAACATGTCAGGAGACTTTCTGATCAGTAAATCATTATGTTGCTAATGTTTTTTCGGAGCTCCAACACTCTGTTTCCTGGCTCGCTTCATGAAATAGGGCTCTGAAGCTGACCAGAAACGGGCATGGCGACACCGGTGTTTCGCAAACCGGGAGATCTTGGCGGCAGCGAAGAACGTGATCTCTCGTGCTCAATCTTGTGCGACTCACAACGGGGGCCACCTGACTTAAGTGGTGCTCTACGCATGAAAATACAAAATTTCAGTTCATTCTCTTTCGTTTGAGGCGTCATTTGCCTTAATCGGTGGCATAGCAAGGTCACACGACAAAAATAAAAAAGCTTCAAGACTTCTGGGACACCCTTATTTAATTGGCATTGGCGGAACTTGTCCACTCCCGTTAGTCGTTACCGAGACAGGCCGACTCTGTGAACACAGGTAGCCAGGCAAGGCGCAAGCTCGTGAGCCAATAAATCCTAAATCATTTTGAAAAGCGGTACAGGTCCTCGACCACTTGTTTTTGTAGTAAAACTTGGGATAAAGTCTGTCAGAGAAACGGTTTTCTTGCTTGCTTTGCGGAACGCTACCTCAACTTCCAACCGAATGACGAGTCTTGAGCGAAAGTCGATATTAAAACGAACTTTCTCTGAAGTAAAATGTTTCCACTAGCCCTTACCCGAAGTCCATCACGTTTCTTCATGTTTGATGTTCACAGTCAGATATCATACACCATCCTTTCCAACATTTCCCAACTCCTGTTCCCATATCTCGTTCCCTGTCCCCAAATGCAGCTATCCGTAACTCGCTTTCGCACCATGAGTCTCATAGGCGGCGGAACGGGGGGGGGGGGCATCGGGGCACCGTGCCCCCCCTTTGACTTTGACATTTTAACATTAGCCCTATTGGCGTTGCACGGAAGGAATGGGACCAAAAGTCGGCGGTGCCCCCCCCCCCCCCTTAATTGAAGGTGTTCCGCCGCCATTGATGAGTCTCCCATTCCCGCTCCGTTTCTACTTCTCTTCCAACATCCTATTAATGTATTATGTTCCCTTATCCTGTCCACCTGTCTTCTCTGAACCGTTCCCAAGTCCAGCGTTTCGTTTCCTCTCTTTCGGTCCCGGTAAATGTACCTCGCTCCATGGAGGGTCTGTCTGAGGCACGACTCATTGCATGGTGGTTACTATGGCTATACGAGTAGATCAGTATACGCATTCGAGGAAACGGCAATGCGTGTCTCTGTCTACATAAAATAACGTTTTATGGAAAAAATTATTATTAGTTATTAGGTAGGTACACCAGATAGATCATGGCTGTTTGATGCGCACAGAAATATTTCTAAAGGAAACAGCTAAAAGTTTGTACGGCCTAAAGTTTACGTAAGTAGTTAAGAAAAGCGGAAAATTAGTGCTACAGTCGGTCGACTCGCCAGCTTCCTGGAAATCTCCATCGTGAGGGGTTACGGGAATGAAGTTGCATCCAACTTATGAGCGCGGACGCGGAGTGCGGACGCCGTAAGAAATGCTACTGCCTAATGCGGCCGGTGGCGCATTATTTCAGCATATTCACTGCGTTGGTATGCTGTGCCGCGCAGGCACGTACCCAGGATTTCGCCCAGGAGGGGGCCACCTGCTTTCGAAGGGGCCCCCCACAGTGTATAGGGCCCCCCCAGGTTCCCCGGGGGCCCCCGGGAGTCATGAAGAACCTTTCGATGGTGGGGGGGGGGGGGGGGCATAGTGGGTCCGGTCTCTCCTGCAGACGTAGGTGAGAAAACGCCACGTGTGTGGGAAAACGCAATTCAGTTCTTTACAACCTAATGTAGCATTTGGTTGTGATTTCTCGCGTTCAACTTCATCAAAGTCAATTAAAACGGTCTCTGTAACGGTCTAAGCCTTGAGAAAATGTGGAAAATTGGAAAGTAAAAATATTTTTGCTTGGGGAGTGTGCATGAAACGCACGGCATTTTATGAGCGAGCGCCTCAATTACTGAACATCCTCCAATTCCGGATATGTAGGTATATAATATAACCCTCGCACGACCAGGCCATTTCTCATAACACGAACGACCAGGGGGGGGGTTGTTACGACCCCCCCCCTGGCGTTTCGAAACGGAAGGTCGTAGAGCTTAGCGGAAAAAACCAACGGATTGCTCTCAACGAGATCTCGCGAATGGTGGTATATTTTTTGGTCCTAGGTCAACATTTGACCTACTTTTGACCGGTCAAAGGTCAAATTTTCGGAAAAATAGACTTTTTCAAATTTTTCGTGGCGATTGCGGCAAAACGGTGGGAGATATCGACTTGAAACCTTCACTATCGTGTTCCTTGATCAATTCTCTATCGTTTGGTATGTATTTCGTTTCCCTAGCTCTAAAAATGGCGCGTTGGGAGCGCCGGAAGTCGGCAAGGTCACAGTCGGCGGCAGAAATTCGAAAAATCAAAATTTAAATTTTTGAAATCTGATTGTATTTTTGGATTTGGGATGTCCATTTGCTCCTTATAGAAGCTAATATTGCTGCATATTCCCATTGAGGTGACAAGAATTAGCAAAATAGTGGTTCGGGCGCTTTTCAAAAATAGTACCGGACGCTGTTCCTCTTGTGACGTCATAGCTCCGTGACCTGACCTGACCCGGTCAAGTTTCTTATACCATATGATAGCCAATACTTGCCCCAACATGCATGGGAAGTTTCATCACGATCCATCAACCGATGTCCGTACCACCGGCAGGAAACCTCGGGCGTTGGCACTCAGTTTGTGAAAATCCGGCCGGAGGCTGTTCCCTTTGTGACGTCATAACTCCGTGACCTGACATGACCCGGTCAAATTTTTTTTATCAAAAGATGCGCAAGGTTTGCCCCATAAGGTACCCAAAATTTGGCAGCGCTGCGCGCCGCCGTTTTTGCACTATTTTCGAAAAACCTCAGGGGGGGGGGGTTGATACAACCCCCCCCCTAGGCGTTCTAGGGATAATAGTGGGGAATAAATGTCTCGTTATCGGAATTCCACTATCTGGCAACTAGCCCTATGTAAACGCGGCTATTATATGTTTCACTAGGAATCGAGCGCAATTGTACTTTTAGCCAGAAAATAAATGTTTGGGTAATTCTGGGACACTCTGTATTAATTGGAGGAATAGGACTTAGGAGGAAATGCGATTGCAAATCGACCCACATCCCTGTGTTAGCCAATGACGCATTTGGGGCCAAGGTTGGGGGTATTTAGTTTAGCCTTTTTGTTTTTCTGTGATATCTCCGGCACCGTGAAAGATATTGGCTCCTTCAGATGAGTGCCTACTCCAGTCACTACTTATATCCAGTAGCCAGTAGCCACTCAGATGATTTGGGATCAATCAGGTGATAAGCGTACTTTCAGACGACCAGGGGCCCCCAGTCGACCAGGGGTTCCCAGGCGACCAGGTCCTCCAGATGACTAGGGGCCCCACTGCCCCAGGCGACCAGGGCCCTCCAGGCGACCAAGGGCCAATGCGATCAGGTCCTCAAAGCGATCAGGGGCCCCCAGGCGACCAGGGGGCCCCATGCGACCAGGGGGCCCCATGCGACCAGGCCCCCGGCTACCAGGGGCCCCCAGGCGACCAGAGGCCATTCTTATAAAGAAAAAGGACGGAGGGACGGAAGGAAAAAAAGAACTCAATGAATTAAACGATTCCGTCCTTTTTGGTTATCATAAAGGTTCCGTCCCTCTACCCCTCCCCCTTCGTTGTTTTGCTAGGATGCGTTTTTCGTCTAAATGATCAAGAGCTTTAGTAAATGAAACAGGAATTATTTCCTGCAATATTTTCTTATAAATTTCGTCACAAAGAATGCAAAAAGACTAAGAAAATACTGTGTGATCGCTATATGGGTATTATAAAATGAGAACCTGCAATTATTTGGGATCACATTTGAATTTTTATGGGACCGGGGACTGTTGTCTGCTACGATACATAGCCTTGGCCAGAGGCCTTGGCTACGATCAAGGATAATATAGATAGGCGAAGTATGTAATATGTTGTAGTCTTTCCTGCTAGGCTGAAACCCACCAAAGATTGTTTTTGCGTATAAATGTGGTAATGCCTATGTCTTACTTAGTGATAGGATGTCTAATAAGCGGTAAGGGAACAACGCAGACACCCTGAGTTAGCGTGGCGGCTCGGGACAAGCGGTAGAGATAAAAGAGGAGGGGATACTGATAAGGCATCTTTCGCTCAAGGGGACGACGCGGCGCGCGGCGAACGCGCGCGGCGGCTCGGGATGAAAGGGAGGGAGAGAGGGAAGGAGTAGGTAGAGAGATAGAGAGACGGGGGGCGCAGGTGTTGTTTTGACGAACTGACGCTAAAGAGGGGGGGAGGGGGAGCGGGGGAAGAAATGGCCTGTGGATCTTCTCTGTGTGGGGACAGCGAGGACAGTCCAGCGAGAGCGCTTGAGCGTGGTGGAGTGTATACGAATTTCTCTGCGTGCAAACAAGAACTTTAAGTGCTAACGAGAAGTTGTAGTGCCACGTGACTCAGACCTCCAACCGTGATACCAGTCGAGGCGCCAGAGGACACAGGACACAGGCCAGGTGAGGGTGGAGCTACTGGGAGGCAGTTGCAAACAGTAAACACCTACCACTTACTGGATATTGCATCTCAAGGTGTCCAATCCTGCCTGTTAATGTGTATGCCCGATAAACAACGATAGCTGCAGAACGATAAGGTGGCGGTCTATAGGCACTTGGTCTGCATGTGAAATTGACTAATTTTCGTGTGAAATAACTCCCGACCAATGTCATACAGTTCACATATCGATTAGCACGCATCCTGAAACACATTTCGCACAAGTTGCTCTCGCAACTAGCTAAATATCGTATCAATGCCGTAAAAAAGCGCTGCTGAAGAGCAGCGCTATTTCTGATGCGTTATTTTTCACGAACAACGCAAAGTCTTACGTCACCAGAGGCGTCTTTGTCTCTTTATGATACGGAAACGCGTCCTTTTGGGTGGGGGTAGCGTCAATCTGGCTTCGTTCATTTAACGGGTTCCGTCTTTCGTCTTCGTCCTTTTATGATAACCAAATTCCGTCTAATCTCAGAAATGACGGAGCGTCCCTCCGTTCTTTTCTTTATAAGAATGGCCACAGGGGCCCTCTAGGTGACCAGCGGCCCTCAGGCGATCAGAGGCCCCCAGGCGACCAGGGGATCCCATGCTACCAGGGGCCCAAGGCGACCAGGGTCAACCAGGCGACTAGGGGCGACCGGGGGCCCCAGGCAACCAGGGGCCCCCATGCGACCAGGCCCCCCGGCTACCAGGGGCCCCCTGGGCGAGTAGGTACCCCCAGGCGATCAGGGGCCTCAATATCATGCAACCAGAGGCCCCCCCATGCGACTAGGGCCCCCTAGGCGACTAGGGGCCACAGACTATCAGGGGCCCATACGACCAGGCCCCGGGCTATCAGGGCCCCCTAGGCAACTAGGGGCCCCCAGTCGATCAGGGGCCTCATGCGACCAGAAGCCACTCATGCGACCAGGGCCCCCTAGGCGACTAGGGGCCACAGGCTATCAGGGGCGCCCATGAGACCAGGCCCCCGGCTACCAGAGGCCCCCTAGGCGACCAGGGGCCCAGGAAAATGGGGGCCCTTGGATGACTGCAGGGGCCCCTCGGGTACCCAGGGCACATAAATGAAACTTCAATATCAATTTTTCTCCCGAGTAAAAGACGTTTTATCCAGTGTTTAAAAAAAATGTCCTGGGGCCTGAGGGGCCCCCTGAGCGCCTTCGGCGCTCAGGGGGGGGGGGCCTTGGCCCCCGTGGCCCCCCCCCTTGGGTACGTCACTGGTGCCGCGACGCTCCACCGTACGGCGGGCCTGTATATATATAGCCATCGGACACAAAACAACCACGAACGAAGCTATTACAATAAGCCATTTGCACCGATGAGACCCACACCACCAATTCGGACTTCCGAGACTCAGCAGCTGTTGGTATGTTGGGGGCGTTGTAGCACGATCTGTACCCGTCGGCCAATGCGGCGTCACATTGCCGCCCGGAGATAGCCCACGATACGGGGCGCGCTGAGCTGCCCGAGTATCACTAAATGTGGGCTCCAGACGAGCTGGCCGTGGCGGCCCGACGGGCCGACTATCAAACTCCTCTCCGCCGGGGCTTTAATCCCAACCAAGGGAGGGTCAGATGGGAGGCTAATGAGGCCGGCGCTGCCCTCATTTCCGCAGTGGCCACGGGAAATGGCTGTAACGAGCGGTGCAATTGTGCGAGTCATGGCCGATAGACCGCGCCGACGGACGCCAAGAGCGAATGGATGCGCCCCTGAGCTGATGATCGACCGGCACCCACAGACGATCACCGGGCTTCGGGTTACAGGGTGCGCTTAGCGCGTCTTACAGATATGCTGTTAGACGGTAGAGTCTCTAACCGTATTTTTAGTGCCGTTTGAATATCTTTCTTACTTAGAGACATCCTGGTCGCGGACTGTAGCAATCACTTTCCTTTTCCGGAACGCGCACACAATTTCCAGCACCTCATTTGACCTTTGCTGATCAGTTTAAGTTCTCTTTTCTTATAGTTCAACTCTTATTTAAAATTACTCCAAACTTCTCGCTAAGATTCCAATCAAACGTAGTCCCTGCTGCCAAAACAGTTCTCTCTGAGCTCTGAACGTCGGTCATTACGGCCAGATTTTGGCGATGACAGACCCTCTTCGCCCGGGTGGAGCGTTATCGATAATAGACTAATCAAATGAGAATCTTATTTTCCAAGCGAGCACTTTGGGTAGCCTTCTCGCGAGATGTGAGAAAACTGATTAAAATAACTTATATGAACTACCATTCACGTCGCCAGACTCAGACAAGCTATGAAATTGTGCCATATTTGTTCTGCCATGAATAATTGAATTTACTATAATTTGAATCCGCAGATAAAAACAGCAGTCCAAATGGACGCTAGGAACGATGCTGAACGATGCTACCCCCTGCCGCGACCTCCCTTGCCCTTGCTCTCTGACCCAGGCCATGTCCCACACCTCGCCCGCCCCACAAGCACCCTCGTGTCTCACTCTCTGCGCCGCGGGAGCAGCTGGGCCCGGCGGCGCGCGGCGCGATCATCCTGCAGCGTCGACAGGCGGCGCTCATCGCTGTCGACGACCGACGCGTCGACGGCGCCGGAGTCCGTCGAGACCGACGCGGGCTGCAACAGGGCCCTGCGGCCCGGGAGGGAGACGTTAGTGGGCCGACGGTCGGCGGTGCAGGGGGCTGCGGCGGCGGAGGAGTGGGCCATATATTGAGGAGGATTATCATCAGCTCCAGACGGACGTAGCCCAAAGGTGAGATTAGAATGGGTGATGATTTATGGACGATGATTTTGGAAAGGCGCTTCAGAGGTTACGAATGGAGAGCGCTGTCCACTTAAAACATCATGACTATACTTAGGTATTGGACACCTTCCACTATATAGGCATCTACATTTGATCCTGTCCTCTTTGTAGGTGCATCGACTGAGACAAAATTGCACATTTGAACGTAAATGTCAAAACATATTGCATTGAGTTGTTACAAGTTTTTTATTGAGTTTAAAGTGATGTCGACGACTATTTAGCAACATTACCTGTTGGCTGTTACCAGAATGCATATAGGCACCGTCAGCACTTAAACGTTCCTCTCGTAATTTAATAATTCATTAGATCCGAGCGATTATGTTACGCTTGTAAAAATGTTCATTTATACGGTTTAGGTAAGGTGTTATTTCAACCTTCCATAATAAGTTCTAAAAGTTCGCATTCATAAAATAAATGAACCGTTAACCTATTACGAAATCGAAAGAGTATAAACGTCAGCGATAAAAGAAGTTTTTAGCCTTCTTAGTCATTATACTCCAACGCAACGTGTATCCCAGGCACAGTGAACCATTTCATAAAAACACAGGATAAAAAGTAACGCTTAAAAACAAAGTTTAGATAAAAGGTGTTGACCAAGCGCTCGCTCGAAAGCAGCCGATAACACATGACGGCTAGAAATACTCGCGGTTATGTCGGCACAACTCGACACAACCTCAGTTCAAACGACCAAACTTGGGGCTGATCAATGAAGGCCAGTGGTCCAGTTTAACACTGGACACGTAATCCCCTGTGTTTGTAAGCTGGGTTTCTAAAGAGAGGGCTTAAAACACTTCAATTAAATGTCAATATCCTTATAACAGCAGCTACGCTACTCCTACACATTTCACAATCCATCCGACCGCCTGACGCCTCCCAGCGCGATTGGCAGACATGTTCAACATCTACCGGGAGGGACCCTCTGACGAGATGTCTCCCTCCATCATTCGGCAGACATGTTCAACATCTACCGAGCGGTAAAGGAGTCCCGGCAGCGTCAGGAGGCCCAGCTGACCGGTCACGACCTGTACTCGAGTCGGGCGGCGCGGGACCGCGCCCTCCGCGAGCAGCAGCAGCTGGATGTCAGCAGCTGGCGATGTCACGGTGCACCGATCGTCACTAAACTAATGACATCAGATGTCCCCAGGCACGATGACCCATGGCCTCATAGAGCTGTCTTTGTCATGAGTTCCCCTTTATTATACCGAAACTGTCACCGTTCAGCACCTAATCGCTTGGGTGACTACATGTACATATGTTCTTCCTATACCGCACTAAAATTCGAAAGCATTGCAATCATTTTATTCAATTATAGCAGCATGTTATGACAGCATGCTGCGCGATCGTCCCCGAGGATTATTCGGTTCGTTTGACTTCGGGAATTATCATCAAAGGCTTTGCCTTCAGTAGTGGTCTCAGTAACTCGCTGTATACTGAATATTCAGCTGAATACACCACATTACGAAATGAGGATCATTAGTGCGAGCATGGACAAAGCATTATTGAGAAGACTGTTCAAGTGTGTACTATAGGGCAACCTAAATAAGCGCCTATATTGCATCGATTTAAGTTCCCATCGCAAAGCTATTCATGTTACATTGTCTAGGTATTCAGTTCCCAAGATTATCGATTTCAATAAGTCAAAAGCGTCAATAGCCTACCGTCACATGGCATCAATGCCCACGAGTAATGAAATCAGCTGTCAGCAACATCAGGAGAAATTAATTTGACGCGTACCTATCCAACAGCTGCCAAGGAATTGCAATAAGCCAGAAAACTTATGAGCAGCTGTTAAAGTCTTCTCGCAATCAAAGACGCGCTGAATGTAACTCGATAGGAACATTTTCTCTTGCCGACATGTTAAGTGTTTACCACAGAATAAGAGACGCACCCCACTTGACCGGCATATCACCGTGCATAGCAAGCCGGTCCCGCAGGCTGTCATATGAACTTTGTGATAACCTGTTCCCAGCTTATCACAGCCCGCCGTTTGTGTGTGTGTGCGCAGGACCACTGCCCGGGACCTGTTCCGCAGTCCGGAGCCCCAGGCGAGCACACCCCGAAAGCTGACACGCTGCGGCCGGCGGCCCAGCGCCCTGCCCAACGAGATCGACAGTCTCTCCCTGACCGGCGACGGGCCGACGCAGATCCGACCCCGCAGCAGCCCGCTGGTCACCACATGGTGAGAGTAGACCCGCACCGCACCGAGCCCGGCCGGCGCGACCTCCCCAGACCGGGTTCCGGACAAAAAGTCAAATGATAAAAGGTAAAAGGATGATTAGTCAACAGACATTACGTCAAAAGCACGAAGTCAAAAATCTTAAAAGTCAACAGGTAGAAGGTCAACAAAGAGGAAAGTCAAAAGTCAAAAAGTCAAAAAGGATAAAACGTCAAAAGATAAAAAGTGAAATTGCCAAAAAGTCAATGAACAAAAAGCCAACTAGCATAGAAGTCAAAAGACAAAAAGTCAAATGGACATAAGGTCAAAAGACAAAAAGTAAAAACGGCAAAAAGTCAAATTGCCAAAAAGTAAAAAGAACAAAAGTCGAAAGACAAAAAGTGAACAGGACATAAAGTCAAAATCCAAAAAACCAAAAGGACAGAAAGTCAAAAGGACAAAAAGTCAAAAAACAACAAGTCAACCGGGCATGAAGTCAAAATAAAAAGTCAAAAGTTCAAAAAGTCAAAAAGACATATAGTCAAAGTCCAAAAAGTCAAAAGGACAAAAAATCAAAGAGGCAAAAAGTCAAAAGGACAAAAAGTGAAGAGGACAAAGGTCAAAAGACGAAAAGTCAACAGAACATAAAGTAAATTACGAAAAAATCCAAAGGACAAAAAGCCAAAATCCAAAAACTCAAAAGGACAAGTCAAAGAGACAAAGTCAATGACACCTGGATCATCAGTCATTACATACATGAGATAACATTTACAAACAGCTGTACACAATTAAGCAGGATGCTGCACAATATAACCTGCATCATTGGACATTGAAGCGAGACTGCCTCCATTGCACGACTGATGGGGATTCCCATGGCCCGCAACCGCGACTCAGCTGGTCACACGGGCATGCTTGGCTGAAATCTGACACACATCCGTTGACACGTGCTAGGTGGGAGCTCGCTCGCATCGTAAGGTTGTCATGAGGCAGCGTTACATGATCCTTCGAGACAACTGACTGTCCCAGGCGCAGTTTACTGGAATTATTTCAACAAATATAGTAGCCCGGAATGTTATCGATACGAAAAGTTTCGCTTGTTCAAATTTCCTATATTGTGTAGGGAGACGTTTCTCATCAATTGATTCCGTCACGGGTTCTATTAGCGATTTCACACTTTTATTATAGTTCAAGCGTATTGTATGGTACAATTGGTACAATAGTAAAGCGCGTCGTTTCTTTTAAATCACCGTTCCATGCTTCTATCCTCAGGATACGGAAATCCTTCTCCTCCACGCCGCAACCCCCTCCGGGCTGGACAGGCAACTTTATCTCATGCGGGCTGCTGGAGCGGCACCGCTGCTCCCGAGGGAGCGCACCCCGTAGCCGGGTGCAGTGAGTACCTTGGGGCTGATCGGCCTGTCCTTCGGGATGGGCTCAGCCCCGGTGACTCACTAGGATGCCTGCCCAGACCAATGTCTCCCCCTAATTCCTATCATCCTTCCGGCTCTGAAATGGTCTAATTGGACCGAAAGGGCCTAACCCAACAAAACAAAACAAATTTCTTTTAAATAGGTGGAAGTTGGAACGAGAGGCAATGGTGTGATTGTCGGATTGTCCTGCCTTGAAAGGAACGCTCATATCAGCATCAACAGACAACAACCTGTTAATATTCACGGACTGCATACAATTAAGGTGACCAATTTTCATCGAAATGTATAGGTCAATTAAGTTATCGAGATGCGATTGCTAAAAACACAATTTTTTAGAACCTCGGAGCTGTGACGTCCAAAGAGAGGTGACAAGTATAGCGCATTGTGGCCACCAGTTACTGTCCCTCTCCTTCATCTTCGCCTCCGCCCTACGTCTCCTTATCGGAACTGCCCCCCCCCCCCGCCACCAGCAGGCACAGTACGCCAACTTTATATAGATAAGTTCACATTCCCAATATACTTTTTAAAGCAAAGTAAAAATAGGTAGGAGCGTTCTTATCGGTAGTGTCGGGGCACGCACGGGGACGCGCCGAGACTCTCTATGCGGTGCAGCCGGCGCCCAGCAGCGGGCGGCGGCCGGGGATCAGGTGGCCCGGCGCGGGTCAGTCGCCGACCGGAGACGCGGGCTGCGGCGTACTTGTACCGACTTAGTTAACGACTGCTGTTGAAGACTACTTTTTGCTGTTGACTGCATTTTGCGCATCAACTTTTCGCGCACCTATAAACTATTTGCTTGTTGACTTTTTGTGTGTTGACTTTTAGCGTGTTGACTTTTAAGCATGTTGACTTTTAGCGTGTTGACTTTTAGCATGCTGACCTTTCGCGTGTTGACTTTTAGCGTGTTGACTTTTAGCGTGTTGACTTTTAGGCGTGTTGACTTTTAGCGTCTTGACTTTTTGCGTGTTGACTTTATGCGTGTTGACTTTTAGCGTGTTGACTTTTAGCGCGTTGACTTTTTGACATGTCGGCTTTTTGTCTCTTTGACATTATGTCTTTTGACTTCTTGCGTGTTGACTTTTAGCTTGTTGACTTCTGGCGTGTTGACTTTTTTGCAGGTTGACTTTTTGTTCATTTGACATTTTGTCCTTTGACTTCTTGCGATGTTGACTTTCTGTCTGTTGACTTAATGTCCTTTGACTTTTTATCCGTTTACTTTTAACGTTTTGACTTTTCATCCGGGAATCCCCCAGACCAGCACCGGTCGGCGGCCGTCGTCAGGTGACGCAATCGTCCCGATAAACCGGCGGGGTAAACCCGGAACTCATGGATGCGCTTGTGAATAGAGAAATCCACACAATATTGAACATTTTTTTTTAGGGGGGGGGGGGGGGGAAGCAAAGCTACGTATGGGACTTTAGACGCGTAGATATCGATAATCGAGCTGCGTCCATTTACTATGATAATTACGGATTGCTAAGTACTTCATTACCATAATGGTGTCCACCGCACGGTTCATTACGCTCTCTTATATCCAGCCCAGACCCTACCGAAGAAAAAACATCTCCTAAAAACTCTGGCAGCCTCCCGTAGCGAGGGCCCCGGGTGGGTCATACGGGGCACTCGATTGGGTCTATATCTCTGCCAGCCACGGTGATCGGGGCCATCCGACTAGCGCCCATCTCCAGTCTGAGGATGCGTCAGTCACACGCGTGGACCGCTGACCGATCGTCGGCCCCCTGTCTCTCGGTCTGACCGACCGGCCGGCCGGCTGACCGCGCCTGGCCAGCCGCCAACGGAAGCACGTGCTGTCGAGCCTCCCGTCTCCTGCCGTTCCCGGCGGCCCAGCGGCGGGCTTCGGGCCCCGACCGGCACTGTAATCTATAGATTCCCCGCCGACCTTCACCTTATCGGATCACGCCGTGTGTGAATATGACGAAATCCATAAGACGGTCGACAAAGACGGACTCGCGGTGATGGAATTAAATTTCCGGGTCAGAAGTGACTCATCTCTTTGGATATCAATGCTGACTTCGTTCTTCATTAGATCGTTGTATTTAAATGGAAGAGCCATCGGCATATCACGACTAAGTAATGGATGCTTTGGAATGCTTGATAAAAGATAATGAAATGTTAAGCGTTTAACTGGAATATATGGACGAAGGGAGCTGCTGTGTTGAGATGGATATCGGCCTAGCCGTGACTTCACTTGATGCCGCCATAAAGAACAGTAGCGGCGGAATACCTTCAATTAAGGGGTGGGGTGGGGGGAGGGGGGCACTGCCGACTTTTGGTCCCACTCTTTCCATGCAACGCCCATAGGGCTAATGTTAAAATAGCAAAATCAAAGGGGGCACGGTGCCCCCCCCCCCCTGTTCCGCCACCTATGAAAGCTTGCGATTTTGAAAGCAGGAAGACAATGGACAACGGATAAAACAGAGTTAGGACCATAAAAAATGGCCTACGTCAATACCGCTATCCATCGTTTCATATTCATTTCCTTTCATTGTTAAAACATAGGTACCTACTGCATCTATAGCTGCTGACAACAACGGAGAATAAAATTGCAGCCATCGTTCTGTTGTCAGACCTTAGTCCAGGATCGTGTAGTTACCGGTTTGGATTGAATAAACCAGCTCCGTAGACCATTCGACCAGAGTACCCACTCCAAGCAAGGCGGCATTCAATTCAGGCACAATAAGCATAATGGGGATTTATTTGGTTGCATGAAGCTGAAATACCTGAGCTTTTCAGAAACACTATGCATAATTGGCATTGTAGGTCTGAGCGCTAATGGTTGAATTGAGGTAAATTAAATTCCAGCGCGGGAATTACGATGCACATATGCAAATATTGCTGGTGGATGTCGAGGGTACATGCGATATTAGTATTCGTAACTCCACATTTCCATCCACAAATACATAGCTACGATTAGGTACCAATCGCTTATGTGCTAAAAGAATATAACTTAGATGAGTTCAGCAACGAAAACATATCGGGTCGACTTACTTAGCTCCAAAGTCTGACTAATGATCGGCCATGCCACAACACATCTAAAAATATTTGCGTCCAATTATCGAGCTCTGACAGCAACTGATACAGTTGGATTCACACACTCAAAAATGTTCTATATCGGCAAAGCCACCTCAACTAGACTATTTTCGCTCGCTTCCGATGCTGATTCAGCCACCTGCCCACTGCACTGTCAGCAGTGTGTCAAACTCGTGCCGTTTGGTCGGATCAGGCGACCCGCGCGGCTCGGCCCCGCAGCCGCTCCCGGGGGTATCATCTGGGGCGTGTCGCAGCTGCGCCGGGTGCGTTCTGCACGCCCGCGGCGATGTCGCAGCGAGCCCTTCAAACTGACGAGCCGGCTCTCCAATCCGGGGCGCCGTATACGATCCATTCGTCGCGCGTGGCGCGCCGTTTCTGCCCTTCGGCGAGCCGGCAGAGCTCAGAGGTCTATCTACATCTGACACCGTCTCCATCCGCTACCAGCCCCTCCGCTCAGTGTGACGGGGACTCGGAATAGTAAAATTCACCTCGGGGAACTTCGCGGCCATCCAACATTATTATCGCTCCGGGGTGATGACGTCACAGGACGGCTTCATCATTCTAAAGCTCCGACACACAACTTTTCTGTTGACTGTGGCACTGGAGCATTCAAACCTCGCTCCGTTTTCCCGCATCGCCTGGCAAAATTATTCATCGCTTCGGACGAGTTCAAAGACTTCACAAGAAACCGTGGTAGCATTTTTATTGACTGTTACACAACGTATTAAAAACGTGTTCTTATCAAATAAATTATTACAGAATATATGAATTAAAAAATCTCATAAAATGAATGTTTCGCTAGAGGAGGACTCAGAGGACCTGGGGCAACAGAAAGGAAGAGCAACTATCATACGGAGTACCTATAACGGACACACAAAACGGGATCTTGAATGTGTGCTTCTACATAACACAGCGGATTCTTCATGGTTACGAATAGGAGGATATATGTATTTCCCAAGTATTTTTCTCTGAGAACAAGATCCAGAACAGACTCTACAATTCGCAAATCTTGCACAGGCCAAAATGTCTGTTGCTTAACGTCCCGATGTCAGAGCGAAGCGAACTCAACAATTCTCAAATACTGCACACGCAAAAAAACCGTCTGTTGTGGGCGACCCCGGTGCCGTTCTGAGCGACTCGGTTTGCCGGCTTCGGCAACGTCCGTTCAGCGAAGTGGCACACGGCCCCTTCGGCCGCCGAAGCCCCACAGGAACACTACCGGTCGCGTCGGGGCTTCCTGGTCCGTTTTTTCCGTCGATGACATTACCAGAATCTGCGTGGGATGCGATCGGCAGGCGAGCAGGGCTGTCAGGCACCAGTACCGGTCCCAGATGGTACGCAGAGGGGTCTTACCGTCAGGTGCGAAAGGATCTAGTGACAGACAAATCAGTGATAGTGAGACAGTGGGACGACGACAAATAGTGACCAGAAGTGGAGGTAGCGATACCAAAGGCGGAAGTGCGGCAGAAGTACGCGTAAAGGCTTTTTCAGGATCAAAACCGAGCGGGCCAGCATTCGCGTCTTCTTCAGCTGTTCCACAGCAGAACATGCGTCCTGAAATTGGTGTTTTCCGTCAGTCCGTCTATCTTTCCATCATTCACCTGTCCAACTATCCAGTGGCTGGACGGTAGATCGCCTAAAGAACACCAGCGGTGTCTTGAATGCTGTAAGTGACTACTGTTATCAGTGTGACAAGTCACAGAAGATAACTTCAGCATGTCCCAGTCACCAGACGAAGACGAGAGCGCCACAAGTGCGCGCACCAAATGGCGGATCACGCTGTTCAACCTGTACAAACAGAACGGTCGAGAGGAGGCCGCCAAAGAGCTCCTCGGCCACGACCACTTCAACCGGCGCGACCCGCGAATCAACTACGACAAGTGGCCGCGGAAGATCCGTCCTCCCCCGCTGCCGACGCTCGAGGAGCTGGCGGAGCTGCAGCCGAGCCTGCCCAGCTCACCGGGCTCTCCGCTGCCGCGGATCCCCAGCTGGGGACATATCGCCGCGGGCGGCGGAGTATCACGGTGAGAGGCTGGTTGGTCCGCCCGGCAGAGGGAACACAGTGATTAGGTGAGAGTTGAAGGTAGGAAATCAACCGCATCCATCAAATTTGTATTCGGTGACTATATCTCAAATGAATACCTTGAACGTATTACGTAAATTGTTAAAAGCCCATAGAGACATGCGGATAAAAATCGATATAAGCCACGTTTCATAATAAGACTAATAAAATGTAAAGGTCGCGACCAGCGAATGACAGCTTACAACGAAATAAGCTATTCCAGATCCTTACAAGTAAATAGTTTTCATCACAGACCTCTATACAACATATTACGTGACATACCTACCTACATCTCACCTCTGGTGACCTCTGGTTTCATCATGGACCCTGGTATACAATTTATATTTTCATCCATGGATTTCATAAACTGTTTCCCACCATGAAGGTCTCATACTTCCTGCCACAACGAAAGACCTAAGTGTGGGCAGCGCCGCGCCTCAGTCGTTCTCCGGCTGTGTGCCGGCAATCAGCGCGAGCTGATCTGGAACACGGTCCTCGGGGAGCCGATAAGGCCGGCTGGCCGTGCAGAAATTACACTGTTATCACTGCTAGGCCCGACAATCACCGTCCAAAGTGAGCGCGCCACTGCCGCGCCACGGTAGATGGAAAAATAAGCCGAGCCTTTGTGCCCGGCCGATAGCGGCACATCGCATCTCACGTAGAACGGTAGAGGCTCGCTCGATGTCGGGATTACAAGGGATTATCAATGAATAATGTACGAGTTTCTTGATCCTGCCGAAAGAACTGCTGAAGAAATTGAGGTCCGCCATCCAGGGCACCAAAGACTAAGACACGCACGCGGTTTGGAGTTGCTAGCACACCTCTGACAACGGCTAGATATCCCAGATTCACTTGGTGTTATGAAACCTAATTTGGTAATAGCAAACCACAGGACACTGGCCTTGATGAGTGTGTTAAATTCAGATCAATAGCAATCCGTAAAATTGACGATTAACCCGCTTGTGTTCTAGCGTTATAACTGACGTACGCCGTCTGATGTGGCAGTTGTAGGCCGTTCGAAAAGGCTTGCGTGGTTTGTTTGAACCGACTGACGTTACGAACTGCCAGACGTCTGACGTGACTGGCCGTCTGACGTAACTGACGTTACAGGCCGCCCGACGCGAGTGACGCGGCCGGCCGGCCCCCCGCCGTGCCGATGACAGAGCAACAGCGATCGGCCGTGGCCAGCCAGGCGGCAGCCAGTCTCTGCCAGCAGTACCTGGCCAGGTCGGAGCGTTACCGACTGATCCAGCCGCTCAATGACCTCGGTAAGACAGGCGCCCGGCACTCTTAGGACACCCGACGACAATCCTCTGCCCCGTCAGATACTCATCCACCGCACGGCACTCCCAGCACTCAAAGGCCGACTAACACACCCCAGCCACTCTCTACAGACGTCTGACACTAAACATCTGCCCGGCACTCCCAGCACTCTCAGGCACTCCCCAACCAACTGCTACTCTTTACAGACGCTCGACACTCCCAAGCCGCCGCCCCCCCCCCCGCGCCCGCTCATTCAGACCGGCCCCAGCGGAAGCACACGGCCACTTCAATATAATTACTTCCAACCGCCACAGGCTGAGTGCATTACAGAAATTCACCCCAGCTATCTTCACGGCCAAAGACATTCAATATAGTGCCACTCCCGTTAGAAGGTTCACAGCTGTTATAGCTGCTCACTGAGATACGTCAAGCCCAATGAAATGCATCATTCACCCTATCTGACGCCTCATTGAGTGCGCTGTTTACTGCAGGCTGCAGGAGCAACAAACATTGGTTTCTGGTTCACGATCAGCTCGTGAAGACGGAGCGTCTATTGACGATCACATCGGTCACCCACCGACCCGCGCTGCTGCAGCAGAGCGACCGGGTCAAGGTGAGACTCCGGCGGAGCGATCGAGTCAGGGTGAGACCCGATGGAGCGATCGAGTCAGGGTGAGACCCCGATGGAGCGATCGAGTCAGGGTGAGACCCCGATGGAGCGACCGAGTCAGGGTGAGACCCCGATGTAGCGATCGAGTCAGGGTGAGACCCCGATGGAGCGACCGAGTCAGGGTGAGACTCCGCCAGTGATAGGACGAGCCAAGGCAAGACATCTCATCCTGGTAGAGCGACTGAGCCAAGGCGAGACCCCATGGGAGGGCATGAGCCTAGGAAAGACCCTGGCAGAGCCACTGAGCCTAGTTGAGACCCCGGGAGATCGATCAAGCCAAGGTGAGACACCGAGTGACCGAGCCAAGGTGAGACATCGGCTCAGGAAGTGTTTTGTTGCGGCGCTCATAATTAAGAAAGCTGTCTACCGTGCAAAATAAGCCTTACGTGTTTGTGAAATTTGCATGTGAGGATGTGATCAGGCTTATTGATTTGATTGTGTTACCCAATTATTGCGTGTTTATGGTAATTCCCCCCAGACGCTGCGGGACCGTCTGACGCGCGCGAAGCACCCGTACCTGCTGCCGGTGCTGGACGTGGACCTGCTGGACCTGCCGCAGGGCTACCCGGCCGTGGTGGTCATCACGCCCTGCAGCCACTCCGGCAGCCTCAGGGACATTCTGTATAAGGTGAGGAACGGCAGCCATGTCCCAGACAGCAGTCACCGGCGGGACATGCTGTCCCGCCGGTGACAGCAGTCAGTATTCGGGCCGTGACTGGACTGACCAGTAGAGCAAACTGTCTAGCAATTCAGTGCACATGGGTTGGAACTGGGACTGGAATGAAGGGACCGCGACTAGGGTGCAAAAAGTCCTCCGGTTTACCGTCTGTTTCAGTGCGTCTGGGACCGGGATTGGAGCGACAAGTACGGTTTCCCGTGTGTTTCAGTGCGCCTGGGACCGCGACTGGAGTGAGAAGTATGACCGGCCGCCGGCGGAGCGCCTCCGTCTGCCCGTCTCACAGGTTCGCCGGCTGGCTCTGCAGCTCGTCGAGGCCATCCTGCACCTCAGACGGAGCGGCATCGCACTCTCCTTCGGCCACCTGCACGCCGGCAACGTCATCGTGCAGAACGGCGTGGCCAGGTAAGTCATAGCGCCTAGCGGACCCGCCAAACCTAAGGTATCTCATATAAATAGTTAGTGGAATTACCGTACAAGGCAAGGCATTGACGGATAGTGACTTAGTGAGCCCAATGGGATAACATGTGACATAAATTTTCACTATTAAAATAGAAAACATCATTCTTATCTTCCACATGATTTATCAAAAGACACCAAGCATCAACTTAACGATGAAGTTGGCCTTCATTTAGATAGCAATCATCTGTAGGTATAAAATTGCGTGTGTATTGGCTTCAAGAAATTGAATTCTAGCGATCAACCATATTATTTTCTCCATGCTGCTAAAATTATACGGCGGGATGCTTTTTGTTCTAAGTTGAGGGCGTTTCTCCACTGGCGATGAATCGTTTCTCATCACTTATTATATATTGGCTAATTAATCAGCGCTGATTTTGAACGGGAACACCTGTTTGGCCCCCACGCTCCATTTTCCCGAGCTCGTCTTCTTTGAACATTCATCTCACGCTCCAATAGTCCGAAACCTTTCAAAGAAATAGTTCATTCATCAGACGGACGAGCGACAACGCACTCGATTTGAAACCGCGTGCAGCGCACAATATTAGTGTAAGAACGTCAGAAATAAAACTTTAATGGCTTGCAGGAACAAAGATTAAATCAAAACAAAGCCACCAATAAAAATGCACTGTACCTATGATTTACAAGCTGCAACTATGCATTGCGATTCACAATGATCTCCCAATACGGTAGACCGATTTATCCATTCTCAAACAGGTTGTCCGACCTGGAGGCTTCGCTGCTGGAGTACAGCCCGTCCGACTGCAGTATGAACCTGCCGGGCTCGGACGTTCTCTGCATCGGATCGCTTATGTATGAGATGGTGGCCGGACGACTGCCGGGGCCGCGCGGGCCCACCCCCGCCGACCTGGCACAGCTCGACGACGAGACACGTTCACAGGTGAGATAACTCCCCACCGTTTAACGACTGAGCGAAGAGGGCTGCCGCGCGTGCTTCAACCTCCGTCACTAGATGGCAGCAGTAGTTTTACCTGAAGTGGTAGACTGTACCGCATTGCTTGTAGCGGAACCGCAGCAGCTGCGTTTGACTGACGCTTCGATAATGGGATATTTCACGTCAGATTCAAATGCACAAAAATGATTTCAAGCTGTGGATAAGTAGTGTGACATAATAAACATAAGCCTCGTTTCCTGTGAGGTTACTTGTTGCAAACGACGGCTCCTTTTCACAGCTCCTTAGTGACGACTTTGTTTCTTTTTACCGATCGATAAGACTGAAGCTTGTGCTTAGCTCAGCGCTCGGAAACGCGGAAACGAACAAACATTTTCTGACTTCATTTGCCACTCACACACAAAGGCCATTCTCGTCCCTCAGGCTGAATCCAGTAGTGGCTGTTAGCTGTTCCTAGAGCTTTCCAAACGCTTTTTTACTTAAGCTTTCCTGGAAATGATTAATCTCTTCCAATTTTCCAGTCCAGCATCTCCCTTTTCTAGCTCCAGTCAACAACTAGCTTCTGTTGCGCTCAACATCAAAGCGCGATCCTCTAACACAATCAGAAACACTGTTGGGAGCCCGTCAACACTGCAAAGCGGTTCCCTGTTCCAATTCCCGTCGACACGTTCCCCAGACCGCCTTATCGATGTCGGATCGTCTCCCGGTTCGCTGTAACTCTGTCAGAGCTGGTCAAACCGAGACGGCCGACCTAAGGGTGGTGGATAGGGTGAGAGTGAGAAGGCCTAGATGCAGCTGCGGCCATGATCGACATCCGGCGAATCCATCATTTGGATGCGAGGATTGTTGAGAACAGAGTTGTAACAGAAGATCGTTAAGTTGATTGCAATTATTGTGATTGATGTACATTGATGTAGGTATATATCATGCAAATGATTGTAAATCAAATGCGTTTGATGTCGGTATGGGTTACCCAAACGCATACGACGCACTTGATTATCGGAACACCACTTCCCTCGCCAGCTGGGACCTGTGCTGGAGTTCATTTTCGACAACCCCGGCGGCCACGAGCCGGGCCTGGACGTTCTGCCGCACCTGGAGTTTTTCCGAGACGTTCATCTGCGGGAGCTGGCCCGCCGACCACCGGTGAGTCTTCCCACACGGTAACGGTGTCGCGGTCGGCCCTCCCGCCCCGCTCTGGGAGAGGAGTATAGATCCTCCACCCCCGCCGTCTGCGGCGCGGTAGGCGGTAGGGTTTCATCAGTAAGGTCGACTGGGAGACTTTGATCAACCAGAGCTACGTCAGGGCAAACTACCGCCACAGAGGCGACAGCGCGACATCATATATATGCTAACGGGAACCTTACGAGCCAATTAGATGGAAACTTGGAGAGAATCTAGGGACCAAACTTGGGTCATATTTCCGAATTATCGCAGCTCTGGTGACCGCGGCTTTATTCATATAAATGTACTCAAATGCAGAGTGCTCGCTAGCACCCCCGGGAAACTATTAGAAGCACAATGAATGGAGCTCCAGTGGAGCGTATTAATCATTCTCGGCACTCGTTTGAGTTGACAGCATCAAAGATAGTATTTCAAGTCCAGCGTCATTGATCAGCACTCAGCCAGCAAATGCATTCCCGGTGATAATATTCAGAATGTTGTTTGATTAAAACAATAACTCACGCGTTAACAAGTGAGAAGAAATACATTACCATTTACAAGAATACCTACCCAAGTTATGACTGCACGACATCCCATTTCAGAGTCTGACTGAGATCAAAGTGCTCACACCGGTTCGCACACCTGAGACGGGCCAATTTGGTGCCTCGGAACACTCGGTCGCCCGCAGTCCCCAGCGTAGGTAAGTAGCAAGTCCCAAAACCCTCGAAAGAGAGCATATCTTCCATTCTACGGTCGATGGCTGACCATTTAATCTTTCTATGAAACGACAGTACTTCCAGAATGAATAGATAGAAGTGAAGCATTAGGGCTGTCCATGTGACATGCAAATGCACTTAAGTGCGGAATAATCCTCACAGTAAATTTGGTAAAGCAGCTGAAAAGCTATTCCAGTGGTAATATCTACACCGGGCACGTTATTAATTACGGCTTTGCCCTCGCCTGCTTTTCAGGAGAAAGCGGTCAAGCTCCATGCCCGGCCATAGCTGTAAGGAGCTGCAGGAGCTGCGCAGAATGCACGAACATCTCTCTCAATTGGAGCTGCGCTGAGGGGACGAACTGCAGAGGCTCTAAGCTGGGACAGTTGTTGGTGCAGCTGGGACAGTTACCGGTGCAGCTGGGTTGCGAGTTAAGGTGGGCAAAGCTGCCGCTGAGCTGTGGGTCAAGGCGGGCAGAGCAGCTTCGAATGAGCTGCGAGCTACGATGGACATGGTAGCTGCAATGAGCTGCGAATTCAGGCGGACAGAGCAGCTGCGAATGAGCTGCGAAGTCAGGCGGACAGAGCAGCTGTGGATGAGCTGCGAGCTGGGTTGGAGAGAAACCACCGCAGCTCAGTTCTGAGCAGTGCTGGAGAGTGCAACTGTCGCAGCTATGAGTGCTGGAGAGTGCAACTGTCGCAGCTATGAGTGCTGGAGAGTGCAACTGTCACAGCTGTGAGTGCTAGAGGGAGCGGCTGCCGCAGCTGTGAGTGCTGGGGAGAGCAACTGTCGCAGCTGTGAGTGCTGGAGAGAGCAGCTGCCGTAGCTGTGAGTGCTGGAGAGAGCGGCTGTCGCAGCTGTGAGTGCTGGAGGGAGCAGCTGCCGCAGCTGTGAGTGCTGGAGAGAGCATGACTACCGCAGCTGTGAGTGCTGGAGAAAGCAGGTGCCACAGCTGTGAGTGCTGGAGGGAGCCGCTGCCGCAACTGTGAGTGCTGGAGAGAGCAGCTGTCGCAGCTAAGAGTGCTGACAGAGCAGCAGCTATCGCAGCTGTGACAGTGCGTGCAGTGAGTGTTCGGACAGCCGTCAGCTGATCTGCCGGGACGCGGCTGTCTCCCGACGAGTTCCTACCACCCCGAGGGGAGGGGGGGGAGGGGGAGGGGAGCGTTTATCGGGTGCTGAGCTGGCCCGCGGGCCCTACTATCGGACCAGTCAGCATATTGGTCACTGCTGACACAGCGGTTACGTGCATTGTACGTGTTTACCGTCCACCGTGTGGGTGGACAGACCGTAAAAAGAATGGGAAGCGGGTAAAAAGATTAAAACCGGACAAAAAGAATGGCTGAAAATAAATATCTGTTAACACAGCATCCTACATGGAAGCAAACAACAACAACAAAAACAAAATGTAGCACCGGGGAAGAAAAGAGAAGCATCACATCTTTATCTCATGCGTTTTGAGACGCAACGAACAGGATATCGAGGAGTGTTATTTTGTAGCGATGCCTGCGCTTTGCTTGTCATGTTGGGACATAAAAGCCACTCTGTGTAAATGTCCTTATAATGAGTTAGTCGTTTTGCATAAGATTATGTGGTATATATGTCACATTAACCGCACATCTATTCGTTGATGCGTATTCGAATTTCGACTGTCAAGTGACCGTCAAAACGGTGTGCGCTTTGTAAATGGCGTGACACAGCGAAAATGGGCCCAAAGAAATGTTTATGACGGATGGAAGTCGACAGTGAATATATGTCTGCGAATGAGTGCTCAGTCAGAATTTCCATTCTTACTTGTATGTTGCATCTGAGCGACGACAAAGTGTATGTGAATGAAAATGTGAATCAGTTTTTTTTTTGCTTGCATGGGTGTAGTGGGGGTTATGAGCATATTTAAGTCGAAGCCGGTGCATACGATTTAAGCAAGGAAAATAAGGGACAATTTTGGCACACCCAACATCCCCTGGATGCATAGTAACGAGGAATGAAATGACTTAACATCGATGTATGCATAAGATGTTGCGTGATGCGTATGTGTCATCTATTTTATTTCCACGGCAAAAGTTTTGAGGTGACTGCTGTGCAGATCTCGATGTTAGTCCGAGCATCCGTTACTCTAAAAAGTCAGGCTATACTCGTATGTAGCTTAGCACCTCTGTAAGCCATGCATTCCAGGGAGAGGATATATATTCCTGTGAAAGTGGAGTGAACAACTGACTCTGTAAATGCCTGTCGTTTGTAATCCGCTTGTGATGGTGTGGCTTTGTGATATATCTGTAAATATGACTTGGTTTTGATGGCAATGGTGATAATGGCTTGAATGGGAGGGCAATTCTATGTTTTCAAGTCACAGGATCACATTCCATTTGCAGCTTAGACTTCAACACGACGATACCGGAATACCAGAGGGGAAATGGAGTAGCCGGGTTGTTTTGACAGCCACTACGAACGGCTTGAAAATCATGCGCCGTTCAAGAGTGCTTTGTTGTAAAATTTTAGCTGAAACACAATGCTGCAGATATAAAGGCGCCAAGGACATGCATACCGCATACCTACTGCATGGTGCAATCCTATTTTGCATCTCAGAAAGAAGAAGCATAATTCCTGTCTGACCATTGTAAAATAGGCGTTTTGTGTAACAAAATAATTTAATAATCTAATAAAATAAGAACGGCTCGCGTTGCGATTATCAATGACTTTTAGAGTCCTAAAAAGAGCTAAAATGTTAAATAAATCAAAATATGCCTTCTCGAATTATATATCATCTAAGAAATACAATACGCGATATTAGGGCAGCCCCTATGGAATTTCGTTTACAGTTGGAAGAATTTAGGATGAAATATGCCGGTAAGGGAATGCGTGTCTCTTGATGGCTATTGTAGGTCCTCCAGCCATGAAGCCATTTCGCACAAGTCTCTTCACAATTCAGACAATGCGAAAGTAACGTCCCATCTGGAAGCTTCATCCACCAAATGCACGTGAACATCCTCGATCAGAGACATAACAGAAGCCAGACAGAAACTGCAACGGCTGCAACCGCTGCAAGGCAGAAAGACAATGCACCCGTTTAAGATGAGCGCGAACCGAGCGGTCTCGATAGATTGAGGAAGGTGCAATGTTCATGCAATGTGGATGATTTTCTCAAAAGCGGATTACAATATTATGTTTTTTTAAAGCTAAATTAAACGGTTTAAGGAAAGTTTCATAAGTCAAATACTGTTCGCAAAACAACATGGCTGAAGGACAAAAGTCGCCGCCGAAGACAGGTAATGAAAAGCAACTATGCAAACGGGAAGACTTTACTGGATCTCTTGTCAAAATGACTCCAAAGGAAATGGTAAGAAAATTCATTTTTATGTTAACCGTTTACGCGTTGGAATGCGTGTCGCGAAAGGAGCGCTAGTCCTTACCGAATCTGGGGTGCGGTTTTTATCAACAGCTACTCCAAATACATACATACGTGGGGTGAATGAAAAGTTTTGAGCCTAACACAGTTACAGGTGACGCAGGTTAATGAAAATTTGGTCACACATTTTGCCACTATTTTTAGGTGTGATCACCAAGTTTTGAAGTTCTAGTCCTTTTCGTTTCGTTTTTAGAGCCCGTTAAAGTGAATAAGATTACGCGTTCGGTGAAAAGGGAGAAAATCGAGAACCGAACTTTTATAAAGTAGGTATTGCGATTTCAAAGCCATGCCTTCATCTGAAATTAAAAAGGACCTGAAGTTAAACTTATTGGTTGTGGCCCATCATATGGCGCTGTTAAGGTTTGAGCTGCTAATTTCAAGCAGGGCAGGAACAGCGTCCAAAATGAACAAATATCAAATACGCCGTAGAATGTGACAAAATCCGAAAACATTGACCCTGCTCTAGGGGTGTGGATGCTGGATCCAAGACTGTGAGCTCATCAGATAGCGATAAGAATGGACATCTCCCAGGAGCAAGCAGGCGACATTCTTACCAATGGGCATGACATGAGAAAGGTCTCTGCTCATTGGGCCTCTCCGCTTTTTGCTGCAGAGCACGACGAGAGATGTGTTATGACATTTGGCGCTAGTTGAAGCAGATTCTGAGAATTCAAAGTCACTTTTCGCTACTGATGATTAACTGTGGGTGTTTCACTTCAATCCAGCATGGGAAGAACAGTGGAGTCAGTGAAAGAACGTCTCTACTCTAATTTCAAAAATTAAATGTCAGAGTCACAACAAGGATGAAAGTGTTCCGTAATTCGGAAAATAAATGAGATGTCTTGCAAGTGCACTTTTTTAAAGGGTCTTACTGTAATTGGGCATTACTAGGATGAACCACTGATACACCTTTGTTAGAAAATCAGGAAGATCAGAGTGGCAATGCTGACAAAATTGGTCGTGTTTCACCAGGACAATAAATCAGGGTATTTTTCACTGATTGCAATGTAAACAATCAATTACTGAGCCTTCCAATGTATCCCAAATTTAATCGTTTAACCAGCATTGGCATCCTTAGGGTGTCAATTTCTTTCTAAACCTAAAGAAAAAACTGACTGGATGACGCATCACAAAAACATAATGACGTCATTGACACCGCGAGCACTTACCCAAAATAGCATGATTCAAGGCGCTAAAAAAGTGAGGAAAAAAGTGCTAGGACTTCACAATTCGGTTTCCATCCATACCAGTAGTGGCAAAATATGTAACCAAAGTTTCATTGAGCTGCGACACCTGTAACATGTTAGGCTCAAAACTTTTCATTCACCCTACGTATTTACGCTTATGCATGTAAGTGTATAAATGCAATAAATTTAACTCCAAAACATAGTGAAATGCTCATCGGCGATAGTTTGCCTCACATCCTCGTTGTCCGACTGGTTGGGCAGAGACTGCTGAAGAGACCACCGCGGGTGTTTAGCGAACAGTTCGAGGCTTACGTGGCGAGAGAAACAGAACGATGCGCCAATGCTACCAGCGAGGAGAAATTCCAGGTCAGTCCAAGGCCACCTAAAGGTCAGTTTCATATTGCCAACTGGGATGCAGATGTCAGAAACCTAGCTGGGAATTGACATTGTCTTATCCATTGAGCTCTTACTTTTTAGACGTCTTGAGATAGTTGGCATTGGCTTGGAATACATCAACGATCCCTTCGAATGTTTAACCCTAACAAAATCTTTTCAATTCACTTTACTACCATGCAATCTCGCACATCCGTCCCTGATACCATCGAGCTGATCGTGTCTAGTACCCTCTCGGTCACCCGTATTGCAGATTCATCGGGAGGTGTTTCAGTACACCATCGAACAGTTCGGGGAGCACCGTCAGGTGCTCTGCGACATCAAGATGCAGTACGACAACGCGGTGAAGCGCCGGGACGAAACCATCCACCAACTGCAGGAAACCAACGTAAGACCATTGGTATATCACAGGAAATTGTTCAATAAAAGGCGGCTGAAATGCGACAAAACAGAGGAATAGATTCGGTATTCCTGCTGGTCGTTGCCCAAGAATGGCATCCCATTCTCGCACCCGACCAAAGCCTCATCATTCGATAAACATTCACACTCTGCGTCGGTGTTTCAGCGCCACCTGGTCACCGAGGCGGAGCTGCACGCGCGCCGGCTGAAGTCGGCCCAGGTCACCGCTCAGAAGGAGGTGGAGACGCTGAAGCTGACCCAGGCGCAGATGCGGCACCAGATGGCGCTACTCACCGACCAGAAACAGAAGATAGCCAAAGAACTGGAGGAGGTCGGTGCAAACACCGGCATGGGGGCATCGGTAGATCATGCGCTATCTACATAGTGGCGTGATATAGGGCTAAAGTAGCAATAACGGCGAGTTTATGGCTTGATTTTGGAACCCTCTAAGTTGGAGCAACAACGTACCTATGATGCTCGCTCAGTCTTTTAAACGGTATCTTGAGTTAAACACGATTTCTTCACGGAACTGATCAATGTGTAGAAATTAAACCCTGAAGGACGATGTTGCAGAATTGGCTGTCCATCACAATCACGCGCCCTATGCGCCGCAGGTGCGCGAGGCGCTGTTCGTCGAGCGGCGTCGGTACCGGGAGGAGCACGAGGCCCACCAGATGGCCCAGAGCGACCTCACCGAGCTGACACAGCGGTACGACAACCTGCTGAAGCGGCTCAACAGCCGTCCGCCGCCCAGCGACACGAAGGCCACCTCCAACGCCGACGACCCCATTGTGCTGCGCGTGGCGCTCAACAAGTGTCGGTACGGACAGGGCGGGGCCGGGCGAGGGTTTGGAGAGAGTAGGTTGCCTGGATCTGCCAGAGATGGCTTGGATCGATAGGTGCTGGCAGTACAAACGTCTGAAACGATACGCAAACACGGTGTGGATATTCGACACAGTTCACTAGCGAGTATTCCAGTTCTCTGACAGTCGTCATGTCGCTCTACACCGACGGTCTGTAAGCCTTTCTTCGTCAATGTAGTTTGATTGGTTGGAAGGATCACTCTGGGCCCGAACACCCGCCAGTTGGAACTTGTTGAGTAGCCACCCAAACCCGCCGCCTGGCGACATTTCACCCGAGCCCGATTTAGCGATAACTTCAGATGATCTGGCATGTGCCTCAGCGAGGAGCTCTCTGCCGTATCGGCTCGGCTGGTCGTCATGGAAACCAGCTACACGGAGGTGGTGCCGCTGCGCGAGCTGAAGCTGGCACGCGCCGAGACGGAGCAGGTTCGAGCAGAGGGCGAGGAGCGGCTGGCGGCGCTACAGCAGGTGCTTCAGCAGGAGCGGGAGACAGAGGTGTTCCGGACGCCGCGACCCGACTGGAACAGGTCAGCTTCGGGCCCCAGAACAGACTTTACATTGGTGTCCATTTGATACAATTCCGTCGATTAATTGTCTTCGTTCGGCTTGAAATCTTGAAGTTGTTTCGGGATGAGAAAGTAGCTTGAAAGATACAGCGGACGCTAAAAAAGTTCCAACATTGCCTCTCGCTTATGTCAGCAACCATGGCTCCTCTCTGACACTGACCCTCTCCGTGGACAGAGCGGCGGCGTACGTGCCCGGAGGGGAGACAGAGTGGGGCCCGCTGAGGGCCAGCCTGCCCAGCTGTGACGTCATGCAGGTGCTGCTGGACCAGCTGTCGGCACCCGGACCGGACACTTTCACTGGACTGGTGAGTACCAGAGGACCATTGACCAGCTGTCTGTGGACGAATCGGACACGCTCGCTGGACTGGTAAGTCCTTAGGTAAGTCTCGATACCAGAGACATATGGCCAGCTGTCTGCGCCCGGACCGGACAAGTTCGCTGGACTGATGGCTAGTGAGTTCCGGAGCATGGATATCGCTGTCGACGTCTGGACCGAACACGAGTTCGGTCCTGGCCCTGAACTGGTACATACGTTCCGGTGGATACTGGATACTCGAAAGGCAATGAGCGAGAACGGTGATATTGAGTGCTCGAGGTACTAATAACACACTTCAAAGGCTGTGTAGGCCAGTTGTGCCGAATGAAGCTGCCGCGAAGCAAAGGTAATTCATATCCGCGAACAAACAGTACATATGGTAGCTGGATAGTGAAAACCAACTCTATTGCCGGGAGCATGGAGGCAAATTCAGAGTCGGACGAGCGTTCACAAAGCAGGAAAGTTGCCAAGGGAGTTCGTTGTAAACGAGTGGTGGAATGTGCCGTGCTCTCAGCTGGCACGGTCGTATGCAAATTAGCACTGGTATGACTTCCACCACAGGGAAGCTTTAGCAGTACGGCGAACAATTAATTAGGTCGGTACTTTGAAGTATTTTCATGCAAACTTCAATGCGTTCCAACGTCCGGGATTTGAGCTTTTACGAAAGCCATCTGATGGTATCCCGTAACGAGGATCAAACAGGTATCCAACAAAGAGTAGATATATTGAAAATCGTGTAATTTCCGGGGCTCCGATTAACGTGCAATCGCCTATCGAACACTATTTTCTTACAGACTGGTGCTGCATTGTTTTACCCCGAATGACTAATAAACGTCTGCTATTATAAGTCCAATTATCACAAAACGAACGCCAATTATTTAGTTTGATGAATAAAGCTCGTAAAGTGTGACGGTGCAACTGCAGTCTGCAGAGTGTAGGATTCATCCGCTTCAAAGGCCCTGTGTTGCTGGCATATTTCTGCGTGCCACAGGGAACCGAATCGGAGCTCATCCCGCCATTCCTGAAGTGGCAGGGTGAAGTACGGAACCTGAGAATAACCCGGCGACAAGTCGTGCATATCATATGCGACATCATGGAATGCAAGGAGAACAACGAAGATCCATTTCAGAGTTTCTTCATCCTCTACTTTAAGGAAAGGTAAGCGACCTCCTTGCTGTCGCAAATTTATACTTCTTTGCTTTAGTGGAGTTTCAGGTAGAAGTAGCCGGATAATGAGCCGCTCATTGCTCTAACGTTTTACCGCATCCGACAGGTTCCCGTTCTCGTGGACTGAGTGGATCTACAGCTTCCACTACGCGCTGGAGCGTCTCACCGCCGACGACCCGCAGCACCTGCTGCTAGGCCTGGTGGACGGTGCCGGTACCGGGCCACACACGGACACAGGAACCCCGGCAGAGGAGCCTGTCGGGGCCCCGCCGCCGCCGCAGCCGGCACAGGCACCGCCGCCGCCGCCGCCGCCGCCGCCGCGGCCCCAGCCGGGCTCCGGCGCTCCGCGTCCGAGCGTGGCCGTGGCTCAGGGCCGGCCGTCCATCCCAGCCGGCGGCGCCGGCTCCGTGGCCGAGAAGTTACAGCAGATGCTGGAGCAGCGCCAGGCGCGGCTGTCGGTGTCCTCCGGTCCCTCGGAGAGGTCGGCAGGCACCCCGGCCACGGCCCCGCCCAGCGGCCAGACCCAGGTCAGCTCGCGACGGCAGTCCGCGTCATCCAGACGGGGCATCATGTTGATCTTCATGTTTTTTTTTTTTTTGATACGACACAATCGACTGTGTATTTTCGTGTCCTCGCCAAAATTGGAATGACGTCACACCATATCATTAAGAATACGCTAAAACTGAGCATCATGTTTTTGTTTTTAGAAGCATGACACGGTGCTCTGACCGAACAGGTGGACAGTTCTGGTGCCGACACGCGCGGTGCCTCGGCGCCCGCCACCCAGCCGCCCGTGCCTCCCGAGCAGCAGAACAGACGAATTCAGCTGTTCTGGAACATTCTGTACGGGAAGCAGCACGAGTCCGTGTACACGCGGAACCGGAACGCCCTCCTGCAGCTGCGTAAAGAGTTCTCCGTGGCCGACGCCGACAAACAGGTTTGTGATGCCGCCGTGTCAGATGACTTGACGGACGCTTCTTTCTAGCCAATGCTGTAAACATTCGAGCAATGCCTGTCCAGCAGTGCAACAGAAGGATAATTTATCGTTTTCATATTCATCTGAAAACTTTCATCTTTTGCTACTGCCTCCTAAACGCACCACAATCTGCACCACTGACACGTCTGTTGCCCGCAGGGGACCGTTCTGTACGACTCGCTCGGTCGGATCATCTCGGAGGCGTACTTCAGCATCAAGACAGACGAGGAGATCCAGCGGCTGGTGCTGGCGGCGGCGTTCGGGCGCACGGAGCTCGAGCCCGGTCACGTGCCGCCCGTCACCAACGTCAACTACGCCCGCTTTCTGGATGTGAGTCACGCCGCAGGCCGCCAAATACGATTAGCCGTCCGTCGTCGCCACAGCCGGTCGGGCGACTGGGTGTTTGTGTTGTGGGACAGGAACGATAGACGCGATAAATAATACGGAGACGTTTCCAAAGAAGACGGCGATAGCGAGGCTAAATGCATATCATATCATGCACAGATATTGTACAGGGACCCGCAGTTGCTTCTGTACACACTAGTATTTCAGCGTATTCTTGGCCTGTGACACCGTTGGAGGCGAATTGGGAAATGATTGTGTGCTTATTTAAACCACCATCTGAAGGGCTTTAAACTGATGTGCTGCTCTCCTAATTCAGTGAACTTTTTATGGCTATACCAGCAAAACATTGTTTTCAGCGCTTTTTCCTGCCCCATTCCTTCTGAAACCTGGAACCGCTTATTCCATTTGCTCCTGCCATCTGACGACGGTCGTGCTGACTACTAGTTCCGGCGCTAGTTACTGCTCCAGTTTTGCACCCGGCACAAATTCAGGCGGCACCGTGGCTCGACCAGTGAGGGTCGGACCGAGCCGACTGCCTGGGGCGCGGTTAAATCGGAAGCCCTGCTGGGGAAGGGGACGGGAGTGAGGGGGAGGGGAGGAGGTGGTCACGTGACCCGTCCAAGCTCGCAGACGACCTGTCCCGCGCCCAGCCATGTTCCGTGATCCGAAATGGCACGAGAGCTGTGGAATGCCTGGAGGAGACGCTTCGAAAGCGAAGTTCAGTAGCACTAATTTACCATATTGTGTGGAGATAAATGAATATTATCTTAATGCAGAAAAAATTGTATGCCTAAGCTGTATAAGCTGTATCTTTTTAAAAGCAGTAAATAGGATTATTTTTAGGGAATTATAGGTTTCGTATACACAGTGAATTGTGTTACATTAAGCCGTTTCGCTCTTATGGTTAGTGGTTACTAACTGAAGATTTATCCTTTTTTTCTCACAGGGAATGACAATACAATAACAATACGAATAAAACCAGACGTTTCGCACAAAAAAGTGCCTCCGCCAGTGGCAAGAAATAAGTAATTAGGCATACATGTTTTCTTTCGATAAAATCGACGAAGTAGTTATCTTTATTTTTTAAGATATATTTTCAACAGTTTTTTAAGCACATCATGAAGCTTATAAACATTTGTGTATTTTATCGGCAACCCGGCTGGCCAGACCGAGACGGTGCCGCATATAGTTCTCATCGATGTTAAACCTACATATATACTTATTTTTCTCCACTGACGAAGGCACGTTGTTGTCCGAAACGTTTAGTTTTATTCGCATTGTTTTTATATTGTCATTGTCCGTGAGAAAAATATACTCATGTGGACTGGTCTCAGTTCATGTAGAAATTGTTGCACATTCATCAACACAGATAAAATGAATATTAACCCTCACCACACATATAAGTAGAGGTAAGTAGACCGCACCCCCTGTTTTTCACCAATAAATCGCGGCAAAGCGAAGGATTGCGACGATTCTTTGGTGCCCTGGAGTTAATCAATTTTACAACTTCCCGGAAAATTAAATAGCCTTTATCATTTTTGCATCTTGTCTGAGAATTTTATATCCCTGAATCAAATTACCTTTAACCTGTGATTATTTTTCTCAAGATCATGTCAGGCCAGAATAGCAATTGAAAGTCAGCGCACATCTACTGTGTGTTTCCATAGTCGTTTCGTGATTAGCAACGTGACAACATGTGAAATATACTATCTTATGTTTGTCTCATTGATTGTTGTGGGTGTCAAGGTCACATGAAACTCAGGTTAACCCTCGCCCGCACATGCCATTTTCCCATCCTAGAACGCACATGGGGGGGGGGTTGCCACCCCCCGCGCCGTTTCGTTCCTGTTGGAGATAGAGCTTAGCGGTAAAGACCAAAAAGATTTTTTTGGGAAGAGACGAATCCAATGATACCCAATTTTACCTTCTCAGGTCAGTCATTGACCTTCCAGGTCAGGTCAAACTAAAAAATGTTGCTGTTTTGGGTCACCGCTGGATATCAAGTGCGCTGCGTATCATATACCGATGACGATGCCGTTTTCTGGTGCCAAGCCAGCTAGAACCTCTTTGTCACACTACCCGACCAGATTTTTGCTGCTGAGGTCATTTCAGGTCAAGTTAGGTCAAGGTCAGTTATATGTGTTTGTATGTCTGTGTGTGTCTGTGTGTATACTGATATGTGCACCGATTGTTTTTGTGTCCATATTACATGAAATCATGATCTGAGAAGCTTTTACCAAAAATGCAGGCAAAAAAAATTCACAAAAAAGTAAATTCAGCTTGCCTAAAACGCAATTATCTTAGATGACCTAGGTTGACCTTGACCCTGACCTTGACCCCTGTACATCGTCGAACAACATGTTCCATGATAGGTGGGGGGTAAGACTGGCAAAAAAGGCCGAAATCAAGGTGTCAATAGCTCACAAGGCCCATGGCAAACGCAAGATGTTGAGAATTGGCCATTTGGGTCATGACATGACCTGACAAACAAGGTCATATCTTCGAAACCAAAAATCACAGAAACTTGAAATTTTCAGTGGACATCAAGAAAGGATAGAGGAGCAGCTATACCAAAAATCAGCTCTCTACCTCTAAAAATGTTGAGTGCAGAGCAGAAAGACTACCTGGGGGGTGGGGGGTGGGGGTGGCAACCCCCCCCCCATGTGCGGGCGAGGGTTAAGGTCATTTACTTGAAATGATCTCGGTTAACTTCCTTAAATTTACACCTTTTTACTGTGTTTTTTTTAGGAAGTGTTGGTTTGAAATGAAGCACCAATTTTAGCATTTGAAAACTAGGCATACTTAGGTATCAGCTATAGTGCCTATTTAATATGTTGCAAGGCTGTAAGTGCTGGCTAACATTCTATGGATAGCCGGCAGAACGCCTAATGGGTGACCTGGCGTGACCCGTCCTACCCCAATTGCTTTGATACATCATCTTTGATCAAAGCAAGTGCAAATTCGGAGTCAGAAGCAAGCCAAGTCCCAGCAAACTTCACTTGTAGAAATTCTAGCAGGACCCAATTTTCCGTGCTTTTGGATTATTAACCTGATCTGGGAGGTCAACCAGTGACCTAGGATCTCAGCATTGACCAGGACATAAAAATACTTGGCTTTCTCTGGTCAGCGATGAACAGGACCCTCAAATCATCGGATTTCTCTCGTCACGAGCAGTTCGCTCTTTTTTTATTTTTCAGCGAAGCTCTGGCTCTTTTTATCAAGGGCCGAATGGCTGAGAGTTTCTACGCCCCTCCGCTACATGTAAGACGCTGAAAAGAAATGCCTAAATGGGTGAGGGTAAAATATCGATTGGTTTTTATGTGCCGAAGCCCGAAGCACTTTAATTTACTTCGATAGCAGTTTTTAAGACCAACGAGCTCGAATACTATAACTTCTTGAACAATGTAAGCACCACATAAAATGAATCGTGAGAGAAGCGGCTCAAGATTAAAGGAAAAGTGCCACCTTCTTGAAATATGAAGATATCGTTGGTTTTTATTTTGACATTATTATTTTCCATTTTCTTTTCAAAACCGGTGCCAGAAGTGCATAATTCGCTAAAAAGTATTTCAAACTATTTAACATATTGGTACTATGTTTATACTCTCTACCCAAGGCTATAGAACTCCAGGTAAGGACACCAGCCGTTTGACCTTGAACGCCGCCGGCCGGCCGATGACGTCATTGGAGGCAAGCCGGCTCGGCGACACAAGGCGAATGCATAACGGAGGGGCGTTGGAACGTTGCGGGAGCCGGGGAGATATTTTAATGTGGTTGCATACCACTCAGTCCCAGCGGATAAAAACAACACCTAAGAAATCACCATTGTTTTGTTGATGGATCTACAGACTGCATTCTTTTAAACCTCGATGCATCATAGGCCTGGATGGTGCGTACATTCGTGGAACGATCACCCCGTCCAACGTTCGTGGTCGAAGCTGTCTATGTATCTAAAGACACCAAGACGGGTGCAATAACGGCGATACGATCCCGTCTCTGGCGAATCTAGAGGGGTCGTAAGGACCCAGGCCGAATCTGACCGTCTATTTTTAGGGAAACTGGGTGGGTGAATTGACAACCGATGGCTTAAGAGATGATAAGGCATCCCGTCGTCGATTGTTATTTGACAGACAACACATGTTGTACTGGGCGTATGAGCATCAGAGGTAATGCCTGAACGTAGGCAAGCATAATTGGTCTGTCTTTCTGTTTAGGAATATAAAATGATAATGGAGATCATTGAGGATATGATCTCTACATTACGGGAATTCACTAATTACTACGGCCCATAGGGGCACCGCCGGAGCTGTTGTTTTGCCATCGGTCCCAGGCCACTCCAGGGAGCTGCAGTACCCGGCGGCCAAAGCGGCCACCTCGTCGACTCGCATGTCCTGTGGGATTCCGTGATGCTTTAGTGCTGCTTCACCCACAGAAGCACGGGCATAGCAGTAGGATGTGGGCTAGGTGTCTCTCCACCTCTTCATTGAAAGAACAACGTATACAGCGCCTGGTCCCGCCGAAGCTTGGTATCAACCGTGACTTATTCACAACCGGCGGATCCAGGAAGCGGTCTTGGACACTGCAGGGGCTTACCCCAAAAAGGTTTCTCGGAATTAATTTAAAAAACTCGGATTTCGATTCCTTGCGCACTGCTGTGCAGTGTGATTAACCAGCATTTCCTCAGAAAAGTTGTGAAGTTTTCTTTTATTCTCGAAAAGCTATTTCGGACGCTGCCCTGGTTGTGGGGGAAGACATTTGCCCCAAATGCCTTCCCCTGAATCCGCCAGTGGGTTGCCCCACTCCGAGCTTGACTAAAAACGTCTTCAAACCTCACCAGAAACCGATGGTAAGGTGAATTTAAATCCAATAACTCATCTCTGTCTGCCCGCCTAAATATACCTACTACACATGGTACGGCACCCGGCCCTGTCGGAGCTGTAAGCCTTTCGTGATATTTTCGGCTTTCCCCATCCCAAGCTCGATTAGAAACGTTCTCCTTCCCCACCCGATTGCTGATGTCAATCAACTTCAATACCTCATCTCTGTCTGCCCGACCATAACCCATTCATTGCACACCGTTCAGCGCCCGGCCCCGCCAGAAGTATCCTAGCGCGCTGAGCAGTTGCCTCCAGCCGCGTCATCGCGAGGCCCCGCGCGGCCCATAAATGAATACATTGTGCGAATAGCCGTGTCGCCCCCCTGTCTCTACCGCAGCTACTGTATGATGTCATAGCAATGACGTCACACTCAAGCCAATCAGCCTTGAGGAGGATAGACTCGTCGGACTGTAGCGGTTGTAAACAACTTGTCGCCCCGTGTGTCTGCCCGTGGCGCTAGTTATCTGTCGAAGGTAAGGGTGAAAGATGGATATAATGGCCATGGAACGCTATTTTAGGATTATTGGTGAATAGCAAGAATATAGTTTTGGTGGTTTGAAATTGTTTGTCCTCAGTGATTGGCTTGATTCTCATTTTGCGGCATAAGCGGCTGTTTGGTTACATTGCATTTTTTATGATTGTGTAATTATTATGATGTTCCTCCAAAGTAGGCATCACATATCAATCTCAAAGGCAGATCATCTTCTTTTCATGCCTATAATTTTCTTCAAGAATATTAATAAAAAATATTCCATTTACCCCTGCCTATCATATATCCCATGGAGCTGCTGGTGGAAGTAGGCATGCAATGTGACCTAGCATTGGCGATGTGGTTAATTAGCTTTAAAGTACTATGGAATGCTAAAGGTCATCATTTAGAATGGTTTTCAAAACATTCCACTAGGAAATATTCATTGAAACCTGAAAATTACTTACAAAATGTAAATGTATAGCCACGTCTCAAGAGCATTCAGCCGTCTTCTCAGTAAATATATAATGAAACATAATCTTACCTGACCTAGCCTTACCTACAACCTACAACGTACGGCATTGGTAAAGCTGGCATCACTGTCAGCGTATATTAGTTTGGTAGGTTGTGGGTAGGTAGGTTGCAGGTCAGTAGGTAAGGTTAGGTTAGGTTAGATTGTTTTTAAGATTCCTTTTATCTACACATTTACCGGTTAGCGCTGACGGTGACACCAGCTTTACCGATACCCAACCTACCACCTACAACCTACAACCTAAAACCTACATTCAATGGTGGCAGGTGGTGATAATTGTTATACCTATATGATAATACTGGAGATAAATACCATACAGATTAGCTGGTATCCATGACACACTTTCTTAAGAAGAAGGTCTTCTATTAAATCATGTCTATTTTATAGGAATGAAATGATTTTTGTTGTAGTCACATTCCCTACTCTGACCATCATGTCTGATTATTTCCAGTTACCACTGACAATGCCCAAAACAAGAACAACAAAGGCCCAAAGGTGGCTGTTTGGTAGTGCGCAAAGCTGCTGGTAAGTGGCATCAAAGGATAGGATGTTGTTGTTGTTATGGGTTAGGGCGTGTAGCAACTTGGCTCTTGCGTCCAACATCAAAGGATAGGATGTGCTTTGTTATTTCCAGGCACGTAGCCAGGATTTTGCTCAGGGGGGGGGGGGTCACAGGTTGTGGCCTAGTGTTGTACCCCCCTCCAAAAAAGGAAAATTTCTCTGATTAGGCCCACTATTTTGGGGGTGTGTCACAGCTGTTTTTATTTAAAAAAAAAATCGCCATCACCGAGGGGGGAAGGGGCACGAGGGCATGGCTCCCGTGCCCCTCCCCCCTCCTTGGTTACGTCCCTGGTTATTTCTGAGAGTTTGGATATCACAAAGCTTTAGATATAAATTAGAATGTAATAAGAAGCTTTCAGCATTGCACCTTTCCAGACACTGATAATTCATTTGCCTTTATTGTTTCAAAAGTCAATTTTCAACACAAAAAAAGTTGAAATTATTAACTCAAATAATTGCAAATATATACTTTGGTAATTTGCCTTTCGCATCACTATCAACAAAATAATCAAGGGTGACTAAATATGAAATGTTCCTGCATGATCTTCATCGTGAACAATTGTCAAGGTATGATGTTTGCGTGTTGAAATGTTATAAAGAACTTATGTCATAAAAACACAACTTGTAAAATTGTGTCTTTCCATATTATTCTGCAAGTAAGCCTTGGAAGGAAGAGACACTATTCCGTCCTACAGAAGCCATTTAGAAATGTGTGACATGTTCACTTTGAGTCAGTCGGTGCCCGGACCTCAGTCGGCTGTATGACCGTCTCCTCGTCCTCTTTTGTCGGCTCCGCCCCGTGCTGTTCTATAAGGGTGTCTGACCCGCTGCCGCTATCCCCACTGTGAGGTCTGACCCGCCGCGCGCTGTCACCACTGTCGGCCCTCTGTGTGCGCGGCAGGTGGTGGTGGACGTCTCTGCCCTGACGCGCGGCGTGCGTCTGCTCAGTGTGGAGGTGCCGCTGACAGCGGTGCCGGCCGGACCGGCTGCCTCTCCGGCGGCCGACATTGAGCGCGGCACGTGTCCGCCGCCGTTCGGGCCGCTGCAGCTGCTGCAGTCGGCGGCGCAGCTGTCCGTCTCCGTGTCGCTGGCCGTGCCGCTGGACCTGCTGCCGCGGCCGGCGCCGGCGCGCTGCGCCTACGGCCGCCTGCTGGCCGTCGTCTCGCAGCGCGGCCTGCAGCGCAGCGGCGTGCTGCAGCTCATCCAGCAGCTCAACGAGCCGCCCAGCCCGGCGGCGGCCGAGGGCGCCGCGCCGCGCCGGCCCGGCGACGTCAGCACACCTGGCATCAGCGGCTTCTGCCTGGCCGACCGTCAGCTGCACCTGCTGTTCGCCGAGGGGCGCGCCGACGCCGAGCTGGAACAGACGGCGGCCGCGCCGCGCGCTCTGCCGCGCCGCGACGCTCGACTCTGCCACCACTCGGGCCTACTGTTACGCCGTCCGCGCCATCAGAGAGTGCTTCCGCACGCAGTGGCTGTCGGAAAATGAACCTGCTTCCCAACGAGGCCGGCCTGCAACAACTGCTGGCCGGCTGTTGGCCGAAAAAACGCCTTCAACCGGATGTCAGTTGTCAAATCAACGCGTATTAATGCATTCAATAGGATGGGCTTACGTAAAGCTGTAGAATTGCAAATATATAATGGCACTGTTTTTGATCCGTTCGGTATGCATTGGTATCATATGATCTCTCATTCACAGACGATCAGCTGCGAAGACCCAGATCCGTAGTAGAGGGCTCATCGAGTCCGGGTCCAGCTCCCCGTACTTCCTCCACTTTGGAAACACCGCAGCGCAGATCACAGTTATACATAATATTTAGTTTTCATTCACTTCATAACCGAAGGTTGTTTGATAGGTGATATGCTGCTTGAGTTGCACCCCGGTATATCAATACGAAGCTTCCGTCCCTGCCACATACCAGTGAAGGAGGCGGCGGCGGCGGCGGCCGGGGCCGGGCTGCCCTGCCCACCGACACAGTCTGTGAAATGCCCCAACAACCTTTAAAATTCAACAGGCTTCATAAATGTTTTTTTGCACCATATTTTCTCGCGTATATGAAAGCTCTAAAATGTACAATATTCCTTTCAGCCACAAGCGATATAAAAGCTCTACAAAACGTCATGTCTCTGTGTGCAAGAAAGACACATATATTGTGTATAATCGAGCGTACATGATCTGCAGCGCTGCGGAGGGCTGCTCGGTTGCCGCTTTTTACCAGTCGGCTCTAGGTCGGACATATGGGTAAACAAAATGGAATAGTAATATTAAACAATGCTACCTGCTGATGCTACTGGGCCTCTCATTGGTGAAGAACTGGCAGCCAGCCAGCGTGTTTTTGTGAGAACTGTTTTAACAGCAGCAACCGAACGGCTCTCGGGCCAGCGACCAGTGAGCGTAGACAGCACAGCGCTCCGTTAGGCATCGGCGGGCAAGCACGCATTAGCTGTGGACGGACCGGCCGCCTGAACATATTTGTCGGTATCGAAAGTATCGTGAACCAAATGACTGCTAGCGAAAAAAGGACTGCCTCTCGTATCCATGAAAACATGTGTTCTACAAAAGTACATAATTGCTTAGTTGTCGCCAATCACTCATTGCACCATGGCGTCAGTGTGGGGCCGCGCCCCGAATCATCTCAATCGCCAGGCAAAGCATCTCAATCGACAGGCACATGGTAGTCCAGCTACGAATCCGAGCCGCGGCATCCCGTCTATGTATCTACATTACACCACAATCGAACACTGTCGGGCCACCCGAGACAGCAGTCTCCAATGTAACATCAAAACCCGCCACTCGTCTAATATCAGAAAAATGAGCATTGAGTACCTACCGAATATCGACTACAGAAGATTACAATGGGGTGCAGATCTAGCAAGAGTGTCGCGGTTCGTCTCGGCACGGCTTACAGGCCGCCGAGCCCGCGCAGGTGACCGCCAGCTCCACCTGTTCCACCTCCGGCGCGGAAGCTCGATCACAAGACTGACCTCAGTCGGCGCTCTGTGTTCGGCACAGGGCGACCGGGTCAGGAGCGGGCCGCTGCCGCCAGGGCCGCGGCCACCAGCCACGCGGCAGCGCCCGCGCACCGGCCGCCACCACCCGCTCAGCCCAGATGCGCGCCACGGCGTCATTGGGGCTTCCCTGAGCAGGATCGAACCAGAGCTGCATGCACGGCTCCGTATCCGCCGTGAACTTCCACGAGTGATCCCACACCTGAAAAAGGCGCACGGTTTGCGTCACAACTCGGCTCACTTTCACAGTCCACGCACCGGCAGCAATTAAGGGCTACTTAGATAGTGTGCTAATAGAGCGCAATCACTTAGCTTAATCCATATAGTCAACCATGAATTGTTAATTACGAGCGAGCGAGCGAAGCGAAGTCTTTTCAATATCACGGAAAAAGCTCAGTATGAGCGGCCCGACCCGGCCCGGCCTGTAACGCTTTTGAGAGGCTTATATCTCAGCAACCGCTGCACAGTGGGGATTTTTCCGATCTAGCGCCTATTAATTCAAAAAATATTTTTTGGATTTTGGTTTATTTTTTGTGTCAGTAGGGCTAAGAAATGTCTGAATTTTTCATATATGGCATTGTTTTATCTGTATGTCCACAGCAAAACTAGGAAAAATGCGCCCAAAGTTCACACTCATGCGTGATTACTCAATGGGCTCAGCAAGGCCCGAAAGTATAGCTCAATTTCATTGTCCTGTCCTGTTGGTTTTAATCTTGCGAGGTCTTAAAGTTGCATATCGTCTGAAAGGCACCTTTATTAGGAATGGAATGGCAAACAGAAAGTATGCCACAACCTTACTAAGGTCACAAAAATGCCCTTTACCAAAAAACCCTTACAGACACCATATTGAAGGAATGGTATTCTAAATAAATGTAGGAAATCAACAATGTCCTCCACACTTTTCCACTCCGAAATATATCCTATCGAATTCGCCACTTTCTTCTGCACAAGACAACGCCTAGTTTGGCTGCCGGAACTTGCCTGAACACGGAATATTCACAACACCCCACTCGAGGAGCGCTAGGGCAAACAGCACGATATAGGTATGTTTCGGACATAGGCGAATAATTTTACTTCGTGATTTATATGATGCATATTTTCTGAGACACATTCATTAGGAATAGGATGACAAGCGTAAATTATACATACCGTAACCTAATTAACCATCGCACTTGTGGGGAGGGGGAGGGGGAAGGGGTCGGATAAAACCCAATGGTTTTCCGCAAATTACTCGCGCAAAAAGCGGCCGATCGCGCCGAAACTTTCGGTACCCTCGAGATCATCAATTTTACATCTAACCTAAAAATTTCATGACTCTGACCCAACTGACCTTTGACCTGTGGCATATTTCTCGAGACCATGTTTGGCCGGAATCGCGATTCGGCGTATGCCAGCTCACATTATCCGCGGCTTCCAGTCTTTTTGTGGTTTTAAACGTTCAAATATGTGAAATGATGTTGGTGCCATGCATAATGGTGGGTGTCAAGGTCACGTGAAGGTCAAGTCAAGGCCATTGACCTTTTGATGACCTTGGTTCACTTTTTCGAGTTTTACTTGTTTCTAGGGTAGTCTTTGGTGCTGATTTCGATTTTAGCAGCCATTTGAATATTTACGAAGTAGTTCTAGTGCCTTCGTTCCATGTTACGAAGCTATCAGTAGTAGGTGACACTTCTATGGATGGCCGGCAGGACGCCTACTAATTGATCTAACATGACCTGACCCGACCTGGCCTAAATGCATAAAGACATCGTCTGTGATCAAAACTAACATGACATTCGTGATCAGCACCCCAAAATACCCCGTAACACCCTAACTTTGCGAAGATTCAAGAGGTCTCGATTTCCCAACTTTAGTTAGGTCATTAAACTGACTTGGAAAGTCAGCTTATGACCTTGGACTTTGAAATTGGATATATTCGGCCTAATGTCGTCATAGGCAGCACGCTTGACTTTTCCGCGAAGCTCTAGCTTGATCAGGGGCCAAACGGCTGAGCGGGGGGTCCAATTGAACCCCCTATATATGTTGATTATGCACATTTACAGGTAAAATTCTCACCAGGACACACCAGCCAACATCTGTGCACAATCTGGCTACAATTCTACCTATGGTTTGCCCCCTACGAATAAATACGTGCTAGATCGGAAAAATCCCCACTGTGCGCTGGACCGATTGGCCTGCGGTCTTTTTTTTTTGTTGGCTAGCACTATTCCCTCTACCCCGTAATTGACTACTCTTGATACATTACAGGGACCGTCGTGGCACGTGCCACGTGAAAAGTCAAGGGTGTTATTTGTCAAAAGTTGCAAAAGAAGTGATTTTGAGAGGCTCATCTCAGCAGCCGCTTGGGCGGTCTTGCGGTAAATTTTGTAGGGTAGCTGCACCCCTTCAACCAAAGGTCGGATGCTCTTGATCTATGTGAGTGACCCCCACTGCACGTGCAAAATGCAAAAAGAAGAGGTGCCGAATTTGTTCCCATTTCAATAACTCTGTAATTACTGGGGCGATTTAGCTGAAACTTGGCATACAGGTAGGCAGTAGGCACCCACCAGGCAATGCATTCCCATATGTTGCGGTTAGGGTGCTACTGCTTGTGTATTATGTGTAAAATAAAGGACGCTTGAATCTTACCTGAGTGATGTCCATTTCTTGATCACTTTCATCTGTGGGTGACCGAGCAGCGACAGCAACCCAAGGCGTATACGGAATCTGTAAAAAATCAGCACACCGTTACCACATGTTTTAATAAAACTTACCTATAGGGAGGTAGCATAAAATACAGATCAAAACAATAACATACAAACATACAGATATTCGGTTAGGTTGAAATGGCTAAAAAATATAGAAAATAAGGGCAAGGTACTAGGGCTGTAAAGCTGTAAGGGCTCGGTACTAGTAATAATTTTTGGCTAAAAATATCACAAATAAAGACTCTGCACTAAAGCTGTAATGTCTGGTACTAGGAATAACTTTAGAGTGAAGTGTTACAAAAACAATATTCAAAGTCTTTTGATAACTTTGCAGGCATTTTCATCACTTTTAAAAAATAACTTACATTCTGATCCGGCACAGCACTGTTCTTTAGACGCAAACGTTTTTGACTGTGCTTATCATGGTGCGCACTTCTTGTTAAGTTTAAGTGGTCATGTGGTCTTGGCTCATTGGTCATGCCACACACCCTCATCCACTTTTCTCTGTACTTCTTTTTTTAGCGGGAACCTAAAAGTAAAAAAGGGTCAACACATGCTTAGTCCATGCAACACATACTCTGTGTATTAAGCTGAATAGCTCCACTGAGCCCAGTTTCACCAAGTGCGGTAAACTTAATTTTGGGGTAGTTTTTGTAGTTAAGTAGTGGGGTAGTTTGGTAGTTTACCCCAAATTGAGTTTACCGCACTTGGTGAAACTGGGCTCTGGTGAGTTTCCTTTTCTTGTCAGCACATAAGTGAAAGAAAACTGTGTAGACAAGAGATGAACCAAACCCCCATGGAAAGGTAGGTGTTACCACAACCAGGAAATGGGATTTGAAGGGCTGGATAAATGTGTCTGAGTTCTGCCTTTCAGCAGACTGGAAAACATCCATACACTACGCCGGATGCCCGTGAGCCCCTCATGCGCCAAAATTTGAAGCAAGCAATTTTGAGCTGAAATTCCAGTGCATGATTTCCACTGAAAGTTGGGTGCCTGTTTGCACCAAAATTAAGCCACTTTTACATAAAGCACATGTGCATATCTACCGACCAAGGCTATATCAACCAGACAGATCGTTCCGGGGCCTCGGAGTCAGACGCTCTTCCCTTTCTGAGCGTCTGAATTAGTTAATGTTCCCATGTAAACCCAATACCACAATTTGTGTGGCACACTGTAGAATCTTAAGGTGAAACAAGGCCCAGGCCGGAAGTTCCGACTCTCTTCAGACCTGCCAGCGCCCGCAGGGCAAGTCTGCTGCTAGATTGACCACAGCGTGTCAAAAAATTCGGTGACAGCCATTTGCATAAACATTATGCGCCATGCGGTCACCCTGCGCCTAAAAATTCAGCTGCCACCATGCGCTGAATTTGACGCATGCAAAATTATGCTGGATGTGCGATGAAATTTTCGGGGCAACGCCGCAATCACGCCACTTCGCATGACATATTCGGCATAACTTGCGTTTTTTTATCCAGTCTGGCATTTCAGTTGTGAAAGCCTGAACAGTTCAAAAGGGTTTGCTAATCCAGGGGAGAGTTCTGTGAAAACAAAAGTAATAGAAGAGCCATTGCAATAAATAAGAATTTAGGTACCTACCTAGGTACTTACTTGTGCACAGTCACACGCATATCAGTCCCGACCCGACGTAGGTCGTTTGCTCCGCGGATCACGCACTTCTTCATCGTTATTACTTATTATAGGTATTTGTTCGAACAAAAATGCCCTGATTTCGGATCAGAGCCACGGTATAAAATATGGTATACTGCCTTGCGTAAGATAAAAATGCATTTTAGCAATTGGCTACCAAACGAGATGTCATCTGTTCAGGGCATAGCATAGGTTTACTTTCATAGACCTCATGAAAGTAGCTCATGAAACTCATCACCAATCAGCGCGACGGATTTTTAGATTCGATTGCGGATGTTCATCCGCCGGCCGATTGCCAGAACAGACAACGAAAAATAATGCAACTGCTCGTGGTCTGCTCGCTAGTACAGGGATCCGTGCCTGATCAGTACTGCTGCAAGCTGATTGGTTAAAAACCAAAGCCTCGCCGCGGGTGGCTGTATTGTCGGATAAGAACGCATTCCTGGGATAAGAACGCATTCCTGGCATATTTTCTTTTAAAATTGCCGATAACTACGAATGGAGGCCGAAATCGGCCGTAAGGAGGTAGACAGAGAGGTTTTCGGACACGGGCTACAAGATGGCTATCTCAGTTTCAATCCCCATGTTAAAGGTGGCCCTTTTCCTTTAAGGAGCTATGAGACACTTAATAAAAAACGGCATAGATTAGAAACTGCACCTAACTTGCACTGGTTTTTAAACCTTTTCGTTGCAGACTGGTAGATTAAATTTTAGGATTGATTTCAGCTGATGCTCAAATGTAGCTATTCATTCGTTCATTCATGCGACCATCCAATTCCATTCATAAAAGAAGCCAGTGACAAAATTGTTCATTTTAGATAAGTGTGAAATACAAACTCAAGAAAAGTTTAATGATACGGCAAATTTGACAGCTTTTATAATGAACAGACAAATAACTTTAACAAATCAAAGTTGAGAGCCCCAAATGGGGAGAGTGAGGTAAGATGAGCCAAGGGGCAAGTTTAGCCACCCCATGTTTCTCAGCTCCTATGGCGCTAATTGACTTGAGCTTCCATGTGCCGTACGCTTACGATGTTGCAGTCTTTCACGTGAGACGGCAACGTTCTCACGCTCAGCACCCGGTAACATGTGGTATCGCCCCTGATAACTAAGACATGTTTTGCCTTTAAAATGAGATGGTTGTTATTTGCGGTGCATGGTTATTTTCCTTAGCGGGTGTCATTAATCGAAAATGGCCACGGGTGGGGCAAGATGAGCCATTTTCACCTGGGGGAAGATGAGCCGGATAAGCCATTGTTGTCTCCGCTGTCGAAAACCAAACTGAGCTGCGCTTGTTTCTGCTGAATAAAAATGGTAGGAAATTGTTTTTCTTTGTTGATTACACAAGTTGTAAGTAATTTGCAGATTATCTGAAGGATAAAATGATTTCTTCCGTGATAGAAAACTTGACGAGTTATTGAAGGCTTAAAACAGTCACTTTTTGATGGAGGAATTTTTTTTTGCCATAAGTATGTATGCTATGGAGTAAATAAAAGAGCCCACTCTTCGCCGCGCCCGGGAAAAGAAGAGGTTCGCTTTTTCTATCCATGCTCAACTTTCCCCACCACGTGTCTCAACTTACCCCGCCCATGGGGTAAGATGAGCAGCATGCAAAATGATTTTTGACGTAGCCTTTTCAGTACAAAAATAAGCGGTATGAAACATTTCTGGCCACCATTACATGCGCAAATGACCACTCTGTCCGTCCAACCCGTAAACGCAGAAAAATGATCAGTAAGTTAGCCTGTAGCTTACGAAAAACAAAAAGCGGCTCAACTTACCTCATTCTCCCCTACGTAACACAATTGAGGGCATTTTTTAGGCCATCACAGTATTTGTCAACAATTGTTGTTTGGAGGACTGGGGAGTGTGGTTACCGGCTCAAAAACTGTCCCCACCCCCAAAAAAAGAAAGAAAACGAAACCGATCATCCGCGAAAAGAACTATTGAGCTCGAACCAAGGTGACGAATCGATTTATAGGTATGCAGGATGACTAACGATGCCACTTTTTGACTTCTTGTGTCAAATAACTTCCATCATCTCAGGATAGCACGTCATATTTGACATTTTGCAACAAACGTATACTATTTGGCGCGACTAGCCTCATAAATGTTCTGAAACTAAAACCATTTCTTCACAATTAACTTGGACCACGTCATCCCAGCTTATGCACGACAAAAATAGAATAATGCTTCAGGATCACTGGCCTGAATTCCAATGCTTAAAGTTTACTCAAAACCGGTGTGACTGAGGCACTCTTCGCTACATCTCGTGACGGCCACCATTGTGTTGCATTTTTTCGGTAAGCTATAAGTTAATAAGGAAAGGATTGGTGAGTGAGTTGAAAACAGCCCTCACCCTCCACCCCCCCCCCCTCCTTCTTCTGGAAACATAAGTAACCGAAAGATCTGGCGATGGTTTATCCACCTCCTCTGCTGCCGCGCTGCGAGGCCTCGATTCGTTCGGTATGTGGCTTCCTGAGCGGTCCTCCCCGGAGGCAAGGTGAAAGGTCATGGCCTGTATCAGAAATTTATACGTTGCTGAATATGTTTTATAGTTCTTCCAAGGCCTTGGACACCGTTTTATTATATCGGATAAGCATTGCACTTTCTTGTCAATCAATACATTTAAAGAAAACTTGATCATAATCTTATACTGCGGCAATTGTAGTTCTGCTTACGGTTGCCTCTTTATGATACGGGCCACCACCACCTCCACTGCGCTGGAGCTCTGGCGTTCTACCCCTCCCCGCTACGGACCGGCCCTCGGGCTAGGTGTGTTAGTACTGAGCGCAAACCTGTAGTAGTCACGTGACTTTCATTCACGTAGCGGGAACGGAAGCTATAGGCGATACCAAGGACGGGCTCTGGGGAGGCAACCGGCGCGGAAAAATAGCACGATTGTAGTTTTGGAAGAATATCTGTTGCGGTAAGAGGAATTATACAAAGTATACGTCCTAGGAGCAAACATGTGTTATTCCTCCATACTTTGCGCTACATTTCCTTTCTCCAATGGCCAGCACTTAGCAAATAATAGCGCAATTCTAAATTGGTAATATATGTGTACAGTAGCAACTGCGGGTCCCTGTACCACTGCACTGGGTTCTTTTATACGTGCCGAATGGCAATGATGAAAATAAGAAGCGTAGGTAGTTGATGTTCAAAGGCAAAACTTCGATGTTCTCAGGAATGAAGGCCCCAAAATCATGGGCTTCCGAAATAATAGTCGCCCGATAATGTATTGCATGACTACTCTTCGTGACAACACGCTCGCTCATTTCCCAGATGTGCCGCGAGACGGACAGCGCGTTCCTGCAGGAGTTCTACCAGCAGATGGACAGAGCCAGCGCCGTGTACATCGACCAGCTGACGGAGCTGCTGAACGACGGCGACGTCATTCAGAAGAGCATCCTCACGCAGGCGGTCACCACCCTGACGCCGGACATCGGTACGAACTACGAAACTCGATCAGTTTATACTCAGCTTGCCGACATGCTTCTTGCTAGCTAACATACTTCTTCGAATTATTCATAGTTCTTGGCTCAAGGCTCTTGCTTCATGCACTGATGCAGAAAAAGCAGGTAAATGGCAAAGCCGATTAGTGCTGTAAGCTATTTACCGTGGCATGCAGTTAGTGCTGGCTGTACATATTATGGCTGATGCGTGCTGTATGTTTCCCGGTGCCGACAGCGGATGCCGAGCTGCAGCGGATCTGCGCCTGGGTGTGTCCCGCCGACGGGCAGGCCCTGTCGCTGGAAGAGTGCATCGACCGACTCAAAGGGCTGCCGCTGCCACCCGAGAGAACAGCCGCCGCCGGAGACGACGCCGTCTAAGGCGGCGGAACGGGCGAAACCGAGCGACGACAGGCCGGTGACACCACCGTCTGAGGCAGCGAAACGGACCAAACAGGAGACGGCAGGTGGCGGGGCGGAGCGAAGATACCTTGGACCTTAGAAGATACTGTCTGAGGCGGCGGAGCGGGAGACGACGCCGTGTGGGGCGGTGGAGCGGGCGACAACACCTGCTGAGGCAGGGGGATGGGCGATGGGCATCAGAGGCACCGCTGCTCGACTGCAAAAGCGCTGTATGTAGAAGGCGGATAAGTACAGGAAACGGTGCCTCGCTCCGTCACGCCAGGGGTTTAATGGGACGGCAAAATGATCATAGAATCAGATGGTCGATACTCGATACCTTGCTTTCCGTCTTGGGGGAGGGGAGGGGGTGTTTAGTGTTTCGTGGTTAGGTACTGACCTCAAATAATATCTAAACTCGTATGTGCGTGCAAGACGGCGCAGATACCGAGCTGCACATGCGAATCTATGAATGCATTTATGTATCTGAGTGAATATGTGTGAGGCGATACGAGCGAAATAAATGCATGTGTTTATAGGCATAAGCCATGATGAGCCATGCTGACCAGTCAGGACTGCGGAGTCGGAGTCGGAATCAGTCGGAGTCGATAGATTTGACCGAGTCGAAGTCGGAATCAATTTTGTAAGCCAGAGTCGGAGCCGGAGCAGGAGTCACGGGAAATCCATCGACTCTGCAGACCTGCCAGGGCTGCGGAGTTGAAGTCAGAGTTGGGGGCAGTCGGAGTTGACATTCCTGCCTGGAGTCAGAGTCGGCTGCCGACCGATAGCACAGTCAGCATATCAATATTGCGGACTGACGGGAGCGGCAACACATCCCGGCCCCCGGGGCTGGAAAGGAAACGTCCAAAAGACACGCCTTCCGATAAAATGCGCTGTAGCAGCTCCGACTAGGCCGTCAACATACACCAGTCGCCAGTCGGCTAAGGAGACAGACAGTATTAGTGACTCCGCTGACTGCCGAGCACTAACCTTCAGTCTCAGGCGGGAAACTCAAATTGTTGGTGTCGGATCGCGAGCATGCACGACAGTAAGAGCAGGTAAGCGGGTCGTCGGTTGCAACACGTCACTGATGAGCTTGATACATGTGCCTGATTTGTCGCATGCAATTGCGGAGTTGCCTGAGTCAGCACGGCCGGCAACTATCGATAATGGCATGGCACGCCACGGTTACTGATTTAGCTCACACAATCGACTGAAACGTTTTTTTATCTCAAAGCTTTACCACAAGCATAGGGCTTCAGTTTGAACACATAAGATAAGAACACATCAGTCTGTAACTTACAAAAAGTTCAGGCTTCAAAGACATAACTCACCTCAAGCTCGTGTCAACCTCGTGTCATCGGCTGGTAAAAGCACCGCTCCCGGGCGTTTGCGTTGGGCGACCGCCTTGGGCCCGTCACCGTGCGATCGGGGCAAGGATCGGGGTTTGTGAGCACAATAGCCACATCATTTGACGTTTCGATTTTGATTTGCGCTCGCAATAATCGCGCATATATCGCGCTACTTGCGCGCTACGTGCAACTGCATACATAGGTAACAGTAATAGGTTGGGGGGCGTTATGCACCCAAACCCACATAAATCCTCGCTCAGCCTCCGTTTGCAATTGTACTGCACTGGTGAGATATACATTTATATACACACACGACCCACACGACCCTTTCCTTGCCCTTTCTTTCCCGTGTAGCTTGCGTGTAGACTGTAGCACACACGTAAGTACACACACACGTGATGTTGTTTACAAAATGCAAGCAAGGCTAGATAAAAGTAAGCATTTAGCATATGACCTTACACAGACTGAGGAAATACTTTGACCAATGGTGACCTCGAATGTCATACAAAACCGAGTCTACTTCTCTATAAATTTGAGTTCCTGGGAAAAAGTAATTCTTGTTTGCTATGGAAATATCCGTAAGATAAATCATTAGTAATAGATAAGGATACTTTTTCTGAAAATAGAGTAGTGATCCATTCAAAATTTGGCAAACTGTAAAAGTTTTATGCAAAATCAATGACGTCATTTACCTCTTTATGATATATAATTTGTCAACAACACGGTTGGCAGCTTGCGGCGTTTAAGACAAACTATGGCGCAGAGAACGGAAGGGGGGTGGGAGGTGTGTAGTGTATTGTATTTAAATACTTTTAATTGTTTGTGGTCCGGAGATTCAATTTTTGTGTCTTAGTCATATAATGCAGTGGTACCTAACGGGCTGCTGGGTGGACAGAAACACAGAACGCTAAACTTTCAACAGTGCTATAATAACTTATGAGTGGGCCAGGCCAGTGCACGACTCACAATTTCTGAGCAAAATTGTATGTAGACTAGGTAAGGGTCAAGCAATTGTGGAATGATGAAATTGCATTGAAAAATATTTATTTGATTGATGTGCATTGATTTCATCAAACTTCTGTCCGCTACTGTGACTGTCCATTATGTAATATTTTGAACCATGCTCAAAAGTTGAGTTTTTCTGAGTTTGAGTTTCTTGTGCTTTGGTCGTCGCTATCATATTGACGGATATATCCAACTGATAACTGATGATATTCAATGCCAATGCATAGGTATGGACCTTTTTTGGTCCATGTAGAGAGTGAGGGCTGAATCCAGCAAATGTATTTATATATTCCCGACCGGGGCTGGGAAAATGCGTTTTATTCACCGAGGTTTTTGTGCGGAGGACCGAGTGCCGGTAGGCACGAGGTCCGTAGCAAAAAACCGAGGTGAATAAAACTGCATTTTCACAGCCCAAGGTTGGGAAGAGATTTACCACATGCCGTACCGGCGCAACAGTTAATATCATATTCATTTGATATTTTACACTTTGATCTTAATATTGTGTTAATATTATATTAGTACAATGTTCATATTTGTAGTCACCGTGATTATTTTTTGTGTTTTTCATTATTGGGCTGCGTTGAGTATGAAAGATGAAATTTCAACTTCCCCCTTATTTAGGGTTTGAAAAAGCTGAGGATGAAGATGGTGAAGCGCCAGAAGTTAGAATAAAGATATGGAGTCCAGCAGGAGTGAGGAAACCGTGAGGAAAACAGAAAATTGGGTGAAACGCTGAATCAAACGCGTCTTGGATCCCAGCTGGAACAATATCAAATGTTTCATTGTGGCACGTTAAGATGCTTCATGCATTTAAATTGTTCGTTTTTTTTTTGCGTGCATTATGTAGAAATAATGAATATTCCGACCATGTTCTGCAGCAATAAATACATTGGCATTGGAACGATAACCTTGTTTAGTTGAATTACGTTGACAGCAAAAGTAAGTAAACACGCAGTCATTTACTTTTGCTGTTGCTGTTAGTGAACACACAATCCGTAAATATCTTCTTTGAAATTTCAGTAAAATTTTGTCTGGGAAAATCAAAAAGCCCTAGGGCCGAATCGTTTCCCAAATACCTTCAACATTAGCCGAGGCGGGCCGAAGCCATTTCCCAAATGCACGTGCTAATGTTAAAGGGATATCTCGGCATGTGGTAAACACCATTAAATAACTTGGAAGAAAGACTGAAATGCAAGGGATGCTTTGGTGAACAATCAAGCAAATTAAATCACTTCATTTTTCACCATTCCCAAGACTAGTCAAGTGGCTTGCAAGCTGCACTGTTAAATTCCCAATGCCTTTATTTAATTTCTGTACTTAAGTAGGTAGCCTATCTGGGATAAGAACAATGCATAATCTTTTTATTATTGAAGTACGGAACTCCTCAGCCACCTGTTCAGTCATATAAAATACCATCATTATATTGCAAGGCCCTTTGTAGTTTTATCGAGTCTGGGTTTTGTTTTTAGCCACCGCGATCTGCCAGAGCCGATGGACAGCTACCTGCAGTCGTGCTGCGGCGACCACCTGCAGTGGCGACTGCCGGACTCGCTGGAGGCCGGCTGGGCGGCCCTCGGCGTCACGCTCGCCGCCGGCCTGGTCTGTGTGCTGCTGCTGCGGCGGCTGAGACCGGCGCCGGCGCCGCCGCCACCTGACCAGTGCCGCTCGCTGGACTGTACCCGCTGCCACGGCGCCGCCGACGCGGCGGACCGGGCGGCGGCGCGGCTAGAGCAGGCCGCCGCTGCCGGTCAGCTCGTGTCAGACAGGGTGCGCCGCGCTGTGGCGGAGTGGCGCCGGACCGGCGGCGCAGGCGAACCGGCCGGCCGTCTGATGGTCGCCGAACTCTCTGAGCGCGTCTGGTGGTACACCGCGCACGAGGCCGACCAGCGCCGGCTGCAGCTCGCTGCCGCCGGCATCGCCTCAGACTACCGGTGGGCGCGCGACCAGCCGCACCGCTGGAGTGTCAACTCGAGTCCGGCCGGCCGGTGGCGGCTGTTCTGGCTGGTGAACCAGGGCCGCAGTCGACTGGGCCCCGGGGAGTGCGCCGCCACCCTCGCCTCCGTCGACTCCCTGGCCGGAGCGATGCGGCACACGGTGTTCTCAAACGTGTGCTTCTCCGTGCTGGAACCGGGCACCAGCATTGAGCCTCATCTAGGACCCACCAACGTGCGAGTGCGGTGTCATCTCGGTAAGCGGAACTGAGGGACACGGGCGTTGATTTCTTGATGAAAGGTTTAAAGCAATCGTTATGTCTGACTCTGTTGTCCGTATAGTATCTCTTGAAAGCACCGATACAGGGGAAATATGGTACCGGTGGACCAACGACTAAAATCGGTTCGACGCTCGCTCACCACTTTCTCCCCAACATCTCCATTTCTCGCCCAGGTCAAGTGGTTCGGTGACTCAGCCTAGCAGCCCTCCCTCGATCAGGCTTGATGGCACCGGTGCAAGATACTCTTAGCAGTCGGCGCGCGTTTAAAGCCCCAGTAAATAAAAACGTCACACCGTGTATTGGTACTTTTAAGAGACTACGCATATAGCCTTGCGACGTGTTAATTTATCCCCCGATGATAAACTACATTCTTTTCGTTTGGTTTCTCGACGTCTGACGTCCTCCCCGTGGCGCCGTCAGGTCTGGAGGTACCGGACGGATGTCGGCTGGTGGTGGCTGGTGAGGAGCGCCCCTGGACCCGCGACCAGTGCCTGCTGTTTGACGACTCGCACCTGCACCACGCCGGGCACGGCGGGCAGGCCGGCGAGCCACGCGTGGTGCTCATGGTCGATATGTGGCACCCGCTGCTGACGGCCGACGAGCGCAGACTGCTGGAGGAAGTGCTCAGGCCGCCGGACGCTCACACTAGTCAGTGATGGGATGCCTCCTCACAGATATGTGTGGGAACTTAAACCGACTGTGATATAATTTAATGGAGGGTAAGTGAAGGGATCAATCCAAAACACCTATTCCCAGACAGTGGTCATCGCCGATATCATGGAGCGGTTTGGGAATATATATTCAGAGATGTTTTGTGTAATCATGTGTTACGCATAAACGTGTTCAGCATTGAAATGTGAGCTTCTGCCAGTACTGCCGTCAGTTATTTTCTTCCGTTGTAAATGTTCCCGCGTGGCTGATACGATTGTCCAGAATCACCCTCCAACATAATCAACGTCTCTCATTCAGCAGCCAGACAACGGGTACAATAACACACGAGTTTATTCATAGTAGAGCACCGTCAGTGACAATGATCGGCAATATGCGAATACGTGACAATAGTGGATCGATCACATGGGGGCGAGAGGTGATGATGAGATGCTGAGGGGATGCGAGCCCGCGGCGCGGCCGGGGCTGATGTGACTGCGAGCGCACGGTGTCAGCGATGAGTGAGTGAGTGATGAGGACGGGTCGCAGGGCTGGGCCCCGTCTCAGTACAACCTGAGCGGTCCACTTGTCTGTCTGCCGCGGCCCGCCGGCCCGCGGCGCGGTCCCGCAGCCGGCGTCCGTCGGCGGTTTCGGTGTCTGCCGGACGGAAGGAGACAGGTCAGCCGGCGAAACAACACAGCATGCACGGCCAATAACACTGGCGGGACCGCAAACAGTATCAACATTACTCACATTGCACGTAAACAAATATAAATTATGAACATTACTCAATCCGGCGTTACTGAAAACGTCCACACAGAGATCGTTACAATTGTTTTTCGCCGCAAACTTTGTCGGTGTATGGGGAGCCGACGGGACCAGTCGGCGCCGAAGACCGGCACCGCGGTCCCGTCGGCAGCGCGTCCCACAGAGCACACCGGACGACACGGGGCCGCCTGCTGTACCGCCTGCTGTGCCGCCGGTCGTCACCGAACACGGCCAATGAGCAGACCGGACCGGTAATTTCCGGCGGATCTACACTGTATTCTGACGGACTCCGCTGTGTTACTAACCTGGTCTGGTCCACTGGCGTCAGGTGCTGTCCAGACGTCCTGTCAAAACAGCTACATATAACAACGGAGTTGCCTTCGAGCGGGCACGGCAATCGTGTCCGCTGGTTAAAGATGTTGCAGCGAGAACGTCTTCAGTTATGTTTTAGCTTATGCAGCAGCCGGTCCATTAGATTTACGTCTTGTCCTGTAGGAAGAATCATGCAAACTATGAGATTGATCCATCATAAGGAAAGTTAAGGTTCGGTCCAAATTTCTTATGCTGACGGACGAAAACGAAAACATTAAAAATGCATCAAATCCCGCAACAAACGCGACAGTGGAATAGGTACCATAAGAATGTAGCGAGTCGCCTACTTAGATGGCGTACGGCCAGCCACCCAAGAAACTAAGACATGCCAATTTTCTGCTGTCTGGGACGGGCGGCGCGCCGGCGCGGGCGGTCCGTGAGCCCGGGCTGGCGGCCGCGTCCCAGCCCTCCCCGTCCTGTCTGTGGTCGATGGGTCACTTACCAGTCGTGCTGGATGAGCCACCGGTCGGGGAACTGGGTGATCACAGCGCGATATCTGCCCCTGTAAACAGAGACCGTCTTTAGAAAACGAACAATGTAGCTAATGCAGTAGGGTGACCGGTTTTGCAAAAAGTTTCGAAAAGTTTTGCTCCCCAGGTCTAATCTAACGTATCTGGGGGTGCTGATCACGAATCCGGCGGAAACAATATAAAAATCGATTTTTTTTTTACCGCCCCAGCTCTTTGAATATTTCCGGTTTTCTCAATTTTTGCATGTTTTTGAATAATATGATGAATGTAATGAAAAAATATTAACAATGTATCGCTAAATGCATGTACCAGTCGATTCGGCATACAGCGGCGTCGAAATCGGCACGCCGCCTGCTTCACCGGCCTCGCAGGAAAGCATAAGGCTCGGAAGGTTTGCGTTAGTTACCCGATTCTCTCCAGAGATGGCGCTGGCGTAGCCACCCGCCGGCCGGTCGTTGCCGTGCCGTTCACAGCCCCGGCGGTCACTTGCGACCGTCGTGGTCGTTATGCTACGTCTATCAAAGCACGACAGAAATGCTCACTTCATTTTTATGTTACTTCAGACACATTTTAGACCTAATGTTGAATTGGATAAATGACTATCGTGCATTGGCGAAATAGTGGAGTGCGCTCGGGAGCCATTTACAATAGCGAGGAACGTATAGGTGGATTGATCTGAGTAACACATGACACTGCGTTCACTGTTGATATGAAGTTTATTCACACTATGTAGTCGGGTGACATGAGAACAAAGTGACTAACATACCTTGTGTACGACACATGGATGAAGCTAATGCTACTTTTTTCATTTTGTTTCGGTAGGCCCGTTTGTTCAGAGCGTAGCCGTCCTGTCGGTCTGCGCCTGTTACAGCTGTGACTGATTCGGTGGTCAGCTTTACAGCCCTTTCGGTGGATTGGGTATGGCAGGGGACCCCCGTTTTAAGGGGAGTCTGTAGAAAGTCGCGCAACTCATCCTCGCTCATGTGTCGTACACAAGGGGGCTCAATGTCTCGGCCCTCGTCAATCGCTCGCTGCACGTTAACTAGTTCCATATAGTTGTTCGCTTGAACGTTAATTTCCGGCAGCCGGAAGTGCCGAATGGGCTGCTGCTGTGGCGGTGGTGGTGGCAGCTTTGGCGGCGGTCGTGGCGGCGGTGCCGGCGGTGGTGGTGGTGGTGGTGGTGGTGGTGGTGGTGGTGGTGGTGGTGGTGGTGGTGGTGGTGGTGGTGGTGGTGATGGCCGCCGCCGTTTCAGACGCCGCTGCTGCTGTTGTGGCGTCGGCGGCGGGGCGGCGCCGGTATTACATGTCGGTAGAGCAGCCCTCTGACGAGCTGTGCCTGCTGGCACGATACATAGTTTGTGTGTATGTGCCCGGTATAATTTGCATCAAACAGAAATCGGACGTGGTGTATGCACCCTCTCACGTGTGCCAGCAGCTGCGCCGCCAGCGGCTGAACTTCACTGGCGAGTCGCTGGCGTGCATGCAAAGTAGCGTCGAGAGGAATGCTTACATGGCTCATGAGGAAAATGTGCTGCTCGCCATGTTCGGCGATGAAAATCATGGCATTAGGGCAGATGCAGTCCGCATAATCCAGAGCATTCGTCAAAAAGGGCAGCGACAGGAGCAGCCGCCGTTCCCGCCCCCGCCACAGCAGAAGCAGCGGCGACAGAGGCGGCGGCCACCACCACCACCGCCACCGCCGGCACCGCCGCCACCGCCGGCACCGCCGCCACGACCGCCGCCAAAGCTGCCACCCCCACCGCCACAGCAGCAGCCCATTCGGCACTTCCGGCTGCCGGAAATTAACGTTCAAGCGAACAACTATATGGAACTGGTTAACGTGCAGCGAGCGGTTGACGAGGGCCGAGACATTGAGCCCCCTTGTGTACGACACATGAGCGAGGATGAGTTGCGCGACTTTCTACAGACTCCCCTTAAAACGGGGGTCCCCTGCCATACCCAATCCACCGAAAGGGCTGTAAAGCTGACCACCGAATCAGTCACAGCTGTAACAGGCGCAGACCGACAGGACGGCTACGCTCTGAACAAACGGGCCTACCGAAACAAAATGAAAAAAGTAGCATTAGCTTCATCCATGTGTCGTACACAAGGTATGTTAGTCACTTTGTTCTCATGTCACCCGACTACATAGTGTGAATAAACTTCATATCAACAGTGAACGCAGTGTCATGTGTTACTCAGATCAATCCACCTATACGTTCCTCGCTATTGTAAATGGCTCCCGAGCGCACTCCACTATTTCGCCAATGCACGATAGTCATTTATCCAATTCAACATTAGGTCTAAAATGTGTCTGAAGTAACATAAAAATGAAGTGAACATTTCTGTCGTGCTTTGATAGACGTAGCATAACGACCACGACGGTCGCAAGTGACCGCCGGGGCTGTGAACGGCACGGCAACGACCGGCCGGCGGGCGGCTACGCCAGCGCCATCTATGGAGAGTCGGGTAAACCTTCCGAGCCTTATGCTTTCCTGCGAGGCCGGTGAAGCAGGCGGCGTGCCGATTTCGACGCCGCTGTATGCCGAATCGACTGGTACATGCATTTAACGATACATTGTTAATATTTTTTCATTACATTCATCATATTATTCAAAAACATGCAAAAATTGAGAAAACCGGAAATATTCAGAGCCGGGGCGGTCAAAAAAAATTCGAATTTCATATTTTTCCGCCGGATTCGTGATCAGCACCCTCAAATACGTTAGATTAGACCTGGGGAGCAAAACTTTTCGAAACTTTTTGCAAAACCGGTCACCCTACTAATGCAGCTGCCAGCTGCGTTCGGCCACAGTCGGGTCATGTTTGTTGGACCAATACTAGCGTTTATAAGTGCTCTCGGCTTCCATCGAGTACACATCAGGACATGTATGTTATCCCGGACTCGTGTTTTGAATATTCAATGAGTCATATAAACACAAATGTCCACTCAGTTCTAGAGGGTGCCGCACTGGATATCGTGCAGACCTGCTGGCCGTGTGATTTAATCTAGCACCTTTGCAAAAGCGGCGCCGCCAGGCCGGCCGGCGCCACTGATCGAAAGTGCATGACACCATGATATTTTCCGTCACAACAAATGTTAGCGCCACATTGGTCCTTTACTCACCAGTCTGTCCGCAGCTGGACACCGTTGACACGAGCTATCAGGAAGCGACAGATGCTAACATCCATTAGCGGAGGCGCACATCCTGCTTTCCAGTCTGCAAACACCAGAGGAAGAAAGACTTAGTATTAACTACGCATCCCGTCAAGTCTTTCCCCCAGCATCAGCTGACAAACATCAGACATAGTTAACATCAGAACTACTCAGAGAATGTAGGTAACATGAAGATCATCATAGAAATAACTAAAAATGAGAGCAACGCAATATCACACGGTCACGCACCTGATTAAGCAGGCCAATCTGAAGTAAAACAGGAGCAATTCTACTCCAACGGACACGGGGACCCTCCGTTCCCAATGCCGCCTGCCTGGAACAGATGGCATTCATGAGCAAAATAGTTGGTACACAGACAATCATGCTATCGTGTACACAGTAACGTCAGATAAAGGGTGTAATCAAACACGCTCAGAGAA